GAAAAAAGTCAGCGGCGTCACATGAGTAGGACGCTTCCTTGACATTTTCGCTCTACTACAGTAAGACACATGTGACCTACGTCTTTCTCCTTCAATATCTGTCCCTTTCTAGCTTCCCTCTCAGGTCGTTTGCTCATTCTGCGTCTCCTACCCTCGAGGGAAAGGGGGATGAGATACTACAGTATAATGAACAGGGGTTGGAACCCCCTGAAGCCCCCCCCCCCCCGGCCTTAGTTGCGCCACTGCTTGGATCCACCACTGACAAAAACCGACAGCATTTCTGAGGGCAATGAGCATAAATAACCAGCATTTGACGATAGAAAAGAAAAAACAGAACCTCCCGCCACATCCATATTTTTTTTAGACAACTAAATTTCCAGGCAAAAAAGAATTTTTTTTAAACCTCTCCATATTTTATGGAAAATATGCTTAAATATTCATACATATGCTTAAAAAGAAAGCTAATAAATTTTTCCCGGGAAGATTTATCCAAGATCACAACACATTTGAAATTGTTACGAGGTAGACTGTCAGCTCTTCCTTAGTGCGTGAGATGGGATTAGCAAAAATCAGTTGATTGAAGCAGACGCTAAAGCTGGTGGTCTAAGTGACATCACGTCAGTCGGATGAACTAGGCTGATACCGATGAGGCAGCGCAGCATCAAGATACATAGGCGCAGCATACCCGCCGGAATGAGATTTCTTCGAGACCAGCTAACTTGCGAGAATGAAAGCTTTGTGCAGAGTTAAGAACCACTTTCTGCGTTCACTGAGGGATAATTTCTGAAAATCGATTGTTCTGAAAGAATCAAATTTCATCTATAACCGAAAGAACCTTGCCAGTATTCGTCCCAGATTGGGGAATTCTCGCAACGAGAGGCGAGCACCATATACCCTGTCTGCACGAAGGAATTTTATTACAGTCTTGTCCTACCTTGAGAAATGAGGAATGTTTTGCAAGGACAGTTATGTCATACTTGCAAGAATAAAGTCAGCAACAAAGAATCTATTGAATTTTCTACACCAAAAACGAAAAGTAAACGCAACCGACAGGCGTAAACTCAATTGAAATTAATGGCCGATGGAGAACCCACCGGTCAGGTTGCAGCTGTTGCCTCCTGAATCTGCTGGAGGCAGTCGTCACCACCATACAAACGCCGCTTCTCCTTTGCAAGTTTCGCTGTGCTCACGTGATTCTCCATGTGCCATGGGCTGTAACTTTCGATACAATCAACCAATTCGTATTTTCAATAATGAATAATGAAGCTCAGAATGATTCTATGATGCCCTCATCAGAGCTTCCCATGTGAAGGTTTACTGGTGCTGATCCTCAAGAAAAATGCGGTTTTTTTTAGACACCCTGTAGTTTGTGCATCCGACCCATAATGAGGACTTCCTTCCAGACTTGCCAAAACGGGAAGATCAGTGAATGCATGAGAACAAGCAGGTCTTCATTAAATCACCAGAGAATTATTTTACCATCCATAACTCCAACATCACAGCGTATGTATCACGAGCAACATGAAGGATCTGCAACTTCCTCATTTCCTTCTTTGACAGCGAGTTCTGCCGAGGAAGCAATTCTTGTGAACATTGGATCTCACGGAGAACCACTTTTATTATGAAAACAAGGCGGTTTTGGAGCATAGAACTGATTTTGAGATGTTTACAGGGTGCTTAGAATCCGTTGGTAGTCGGGCATTTCTGACGTATGTTGGTGTCGCTCAATTATTGTGACTTTAATTTTTATAGTGCCTCTGGGATCGGTAATGAAATATGAGATGAAACTACAATAGGATCAAATATTACATTATGAAATGGAACTCAGCCAGAGACCAACTTACATACATTCATCCACCCCGTCGATACCCATACAGAAGGAAAAGGAAAACAGGTTTTGATAATATCACAGAACAAGCCCACCCAGGTGGAAAGAGAAAGATCATTTACACTAGTAAGCAGACAATTAAGAGTGACAGGCCCCCTGTCTCCTGGAGGTCGGAGTTTTTTTTCCCTACTTCCAAGATAGGAGGAAGTCTCTTGGACGTGGGAGACGGAAGAGATGAGGTTACCACTCTCCTCAGTACCATTAATGCGAGCATCTCCGCGTCGGGGCACACACCCAGGTAACACAGAACCTTGAATCAACATGGATTGGATGTGAACTGAGTGTGCGAATGTTGAAGGTTGAAGGTGAACATTGTTTCAATGTTGATACAATGTCGTCGCATCACATTGTGGATTCCAATTGGGGAATATTCGGATTATATTTATTAGATGTTACCATTTCCAATTATCCTACGGTCATCGCGGAGACGTCTTGCATCCTCTTATGAACGTTATGTTACTAGGGTAGTGTAGTCTAGGCGCGTTCATAATGAAGTACCAAGAGTGCTCACTAGATGGTATTCATGTTCCCCTGTAGCCTCTAATGCAATTACGGATCTGTCACCTTCCATTAAAGCGTTTTCTCCCACTTTCCTCTTATTGTTACGTAATTAATGAACACATATATTAGAGAAATGTGGAATTACGATGTTCTGATTGCAGAATCTGATTCTGAGACAAATTAAATGTCCAGGTTTAGCGTGAGAGCATAGAAGTCTAGGTGATTGGAGACGTATAGAGCACACACAAGAATAACCTGAAGTGATCCATCCACAAATTTTTTAAGAGAGGAGCTGAGAGAATTTATCTTCGTTTTGCAAACCAGTTAGGCATACAAGGCTTTGGTGCTGTTTGCAAAACTGAAGAGGACCCATTCTCTCAAACTTCTCAGTACTCTGGGTACTGACCTATAGATACTGAAGTGGATTTATCCTCTTTTGTATATGTAGTTCATCATCCATAGGTCAAGCGATTCATTTTGATGAATTTACCTCTTCTTGATCCGTGGAGAAACCCAATCACGAGGGACTCATTGAGGAATGTTGAATGTTGCCATCAATATTGTTTCAACATTCCATTACAATGTTGACAAAAATGACATCTTCACATTGAATCAATGTGGCACCTCAATGTTGTTTCAACATGATAAATGTTGCCATGAAACATTGTTTCAATGTTGTTTCCACATGGATGTGTTACCTGGGTCATCACCTTCTGGACATAGACGACCGAAGAGGGTGCTATCGACCCTTAAATTCCGTAGAAATCTTAATAAATTTGAGTCATTTTAAATTACTTTGCTCACATTTGAGCTGATATTTGAACTTCTGAGGCATTTCTTGTCATGTCGAGGGGAAATGCTCCCTCATTTCACTGATAACTGCCATTCAGAGGAATAATATCTTTTCCCTATCAGCAGGCATCATCAATGATTTTAAAAGAAGTTTCACTGGCATCCATTTTCAATGAAATGCTCTACGCCTGGAGCATTAAAACCTGGCGTTGAGCTACGAAACAACCGAAAGCGGAAGTATGTGTGTAAACCTATATGCTCAGAACACAGAAGCACTCTGAAGATGCACACAAACACAAAGGCGAAAACACGCCAGGCCCACATTGGATATAGGTGGGAAACGTTGGCGGAACGTGAAAGTTGGGAACGATGTTGGCCCCATGTGGGCCCAACATGAGCATATCCACACAGCACAGGGATGTCCCTAACTGGACGACTTGTCCCCATGTCTTTATTATAGGATATCCTGAAGACATCTTCTTTCGGACGGTTTCGGACATCTCGCAAGGGATGTCTTCGGGACGTCTTTTAGCCATCTTCAGTCGATATCTTAGAGATATCCCTTTCGGGATATCTTTAAGACATCCTTAGTCGAATGCTTCTGGATATCTTGAAGATATCTTCAGCCGAACGCTTTTCGATATCTTGAGGAGGATGTCTTAGGGACATCTTAGGGATGTCTTTAGGCATCTTCAGTGCTCTCTGTCGCCTTCAGTCAGGTGCATACCTTCGACGGTAGATGTCTCCCGTGAGCCCTGATCTACAACCTCAGATCTTTTCTATCGAATTCATCTACTTGATTTGTCCTGAGGACAAGTAAGGATTTCCGTACCATACAGTTAACAACTGCATTATTAAATGTTTAACTTTTGCAATCGGGGAGAGGAGAAGCACTTCATCGTAAACGCGAATGTTGTTGAATTTTAATTTATTCCTTTATATTCTCATTAATGATGTCTGATTGGCATGTCTGGATACAACTATATTGGTTGGAGGCCTGAGCCCATACTATTTGAAAGGCATAAGACTACATCATAACATCCATGACCCCTCGTGTAAAAGTGGTAAATTTCGTCCCTTGGAGATGTGTCTTCTATGATGGGGCTTCCTTTAGGAATAGTATTTTCCTCCCCCTTAATCGTTACTCTTCTATCGATCAAGAACTTTAGATTATGTGTTCCTATATAAAATAGAGACATTTACGAAAGCGAAGAGTTCTCCTGTGCGATAGGAAATGAGTCCATATGGGTAGGAAGGAATAGGAAGGCCCCTACAAGTACTACCTGAGAATTCTCACTTGTCCCAATGGGATATCCCACCCTACACGATAAAGAAGTTCTTTCCCTATAGGAACCCTACAGTAACCCGGCAGACATTTTGATATCCCTAAGATGTCCCTACTCCTTGTCTCTGGGACATCGCACTTGTCCCAAGAGGATATCTTTGGGATATACCTGTGCTGTGTGGGTACCTACCTGCATACCAATTTTCACAGTGATTAGATCAACATTTTTTGGCATTCATAGAAAAAATCAATGTGAAAAATAGACAGGATGGGACTTTAGGTGGTCTCTTTCCTTTTAAGAAGCCTCACCATAAAAAAGCAGGTTTGGGTAATGTCACACCTGAGATAAGAGGCAAGTGCCCTGACAGGAAGTTGTCTACTTGACTCATTTTCCAATCAGCTCACAAGACAGAGCAATATTGGTTTGCTCAGCCTGTTATATTGCTTTCTTTTTGTCACTCCATGATGCCAATTCCACCTAACCCCACCTACCGACTCAGTTCCAGTGGATGGCTCCCATCCTCCTTGTAGTCAATTATAACACTTCTCCCTTCTCTCAAACACACTCAATTCACATGTCTTTGGCATGGTCAGTTCGTGGTTCTCTGAATACTCCTGTTAGGGTGTAAATACAAGAAAAACAACATAACATCAGGCTGGTGTTGAAAGTCAGCATCATACAATGGGTGCACACTAACACTATATGAACCACAATGCCAGATTAGCAGAATTGGTATACTTTATTCATACAATTGCTGTTTTTTGGGACAAGATATAGTTGAAAAGGACTGAGTACATGAGATGATCTTATTCAAAAATGCACCACACACACTACCCAAGGGTTAAATAAACTCTCTTCTGTACAGAATTCAATCACAATAGGTCTTTATTTGAGATCACAGTAGAAGCATTTCAATGAGGTCACAGTGATGTGAAGAAATTGGTCAACATCATGATAAGGTGTCTGAAATTTGTTGAATGATGCACTCACACTATAATGCTTTGAGTTCATAACACATTCTTGAGTCCAACTGGTAACACTCAACTCCAGATTCTTCCAGAACCTGCTATGATAGACAGGACAAACTGGATTCCTCAGATGATAAAGATTAAGACAAGGGGAATGATAAATTATTTGAGTAGTCTGTATGAGATGGAACTTGTTCTCATCACCTTAACAGGGATACAATCAGCTGAACTTCCCTAGTTCCATCTTACGCTGAATCTTCTTAAGGCCATGATATAGCAAAGCATCAATGAGGCCAGCAACAGTGAAGACTCCACCAATGATTGCACATAGACCTGTTGCAAAATGACCCAAGGACCTGCAAGTAGAAGTGGATTCAAATTAGCAAGGAGGAACACAGAATGACGACAGCCACTGAAACTTCTAAGAGGAGCAATACTCATCCCAAGTGTGTCCTAAAGGAGGAATATAATTTGGAAGATGCACAGTATTGAGGTCTAAAAAAAGATACAAGTTTTTGACACTGAAGGAATGTGATATATTTGCATTTGTCAATTCAACTGGGGAAGCTGGGTGGGAACAAAAGTCATAGAAAGTGCCACAATAATGACAGGGAAACACTATCCTGACACTCGGGATACACCATTAATTTCTCCACCTAATCTATATTTTTGTGAACCCACTTTTCTCTTCAGTATTCTCATGCATCAAACCCAGTGATGAAGAATTACCTTGACTGCTGCATCCCCCACATGACAAATGGTAAAATGTTGGTACAATAAACAAATTGCCTCAATACACCATGCTACCTCATCACTCCTCAATTGACCTTCCTTCTCTAGACTACCACCAATTTCTGCTGTTGAAGAGGGGTCTATCTGGTAGCAGATTTATTCCCAGTCCCATTTCCATTGTGATGGTTGCAACAATCCCAACAATTCTTGCCATAATATTTCATACGAACTTCTATATAGGCTAAAAGAGCTTAAGAGAGTTCAGCTCAATCTGTTATTTTCCCGTTTGTTCCATCTAACTGGTATATATGCATGGGTGAAACTTCAATATTGTACTGCTTTACGTTTTGTGTTATGGACGCCTTGAAGCTAAAGTGTGCAGCTGTGATTGAGTTGTTCCAGAAGGGCCAAAGCCCAGGGAACATCTTTTGTCAACTCCAGTCCAGTAGTTACAAGAAAGATTACATTCATCATACTCTCAGATGTTATCATGAGACTGGAGGCATCAGTGACAGGAAGCATACTTGCAAACCACATTCTGTTCGCAAGGCAAAACTTGTCAAGAATGTGAAGGCACAGATCAGGCAGAACCCTCGGTGTTCAGGTCGAAAATTGGCGATTGAGATGGATACCTTGCACACAACCATGCGGCGAGTGCTGAAGGAGAATTTTGAGTTGAAGCCTTTGAAGATACGAAGGACTCAAATGCTCAACCAACGGACCAAGCTGGCCAGAAAGGAAAAATGTCGGGCTCCACTACAGCGGTTCACGCCTGACAAATTGGATTGAATCCTGTTTTCCAATGAGAAGCTGTTCCATGTGGAAGCTAAGTGGAACACCCAAAACAACAGGGTCTATGGAAACAGTGTTATGGAGTTGCCTGCGAGTGTCAATAAGATGCAGAGGATGCAACATCTGATGTTGGTGATGGTTTGGGCTGGAGTGTCTGCCATGGCCAAGACTTCCCTGGTTTTTGTGGATCAAAGGGTCAAAATTTGAAAGGAGAACTATCTAGTAGATATTCTTGAGCCTTATGTGTGCCCCAAGACATGATCTGTTCAAAAATGGGGAATGGTGGTTCCAGCAGGATTCAGCATCAGCCCACAAGGCCCACACCACTCAAAACTGGTACCAAGACAATTTGCTGGGCTTCATATCCACTGCTGAATGGCCTGCCTCCTCACCCGATCCGAATCCGATGGACTACTATGTTTGGTTCAAGTTGGAGCAGATGGCCTGCAGTAGGAATCATCCAAATGTGGAGTCCCTAAAGTGCTGTCTTAAGAAAGCTTGGAGCAATCTCCTGATGGAAGAGATGTGTGCTGCAATCCATAGCTGGTGAGGAAGATTGCCAGCCTGTGTGACAGCCATAGGGGGTTGCTTTGAAGTTGAATAATTCCTATGTGAGGTTTATGTTGCAATGATGATATTTTCAAAATCTGATGCCTCTGTGCCTCAAAATCAATATTCACAAACCAAAAGTCTTTGTATGAGGTATTATGGCTCACCCTGTAAACGCAAAATCGTGTGCAAAAATGGAGATTATATGGAGAAGTAAAGGGTGTATCCCAGGAGTGTCAGTATACCATTTCTCTTACACTCTATAGTGTTCCAATTACTTTGGCAACAGTCCTCATTGCTCTCAAGAAGTGGAGGCTGCAGAAGGAATCAAGAGAGGAATACAGCAAATTTTTTAATTTTTATAGAGAACCGAAGAAGGTACTATATTCTAGTCAGAGGCTGACAAGCCATCTCAGATGGCCAGTCTGCCTCTGATTCGGGATAACTAAAGCTTTCTTGTCCATCACATCATGGTGTGCTAGAAATACAAAAGCTAAAAAGCCTAAAACAAGCATGAATATACAATCAGTAAAAAAAATATATTGCATAATAAAAAAAGACCCCTATCTTTAAATCCAAAAAATCTCCACTCTCTCCAAGAAGAAAAATCTAACACTACATTCTGCTGCACATGCTGATAGCTCATTATTGAACTTTATAGAAATATTGTGAACAAAATGCATAAGGTCAAGGACATGCAGTAAGATGACACGGATCTCCAGCGATGCAACACAGCAAATACAAACCTGAGTCACAGCTGCAGTGAGAAAACATAGCCACAATACCTTGCAATCAAATAACAATACTAAAATTAAAGCACACAATGAGTACATGAAAAACATTCCCTGAAGCATAGTTTGTTTATCCAGGCATTAGAGAGCAGGTGGATCTTTGAACATTCACAAAGGGTGACAACTCTGGTCTTCAGAGCATGACAAATGACCTTGTAAAAGGTCTCTCATTATCTCCCCCTTGGCATCAGGTATCTCAAAGAGGAATGCATCAAGGCTGCCAGAATTTTTTTCATCAAGAAACAAAGAAAATATGACTGAGGATGACATGCATCAAATCATTTAAAATTCAAACTTATGCATTAAAAAATCATTTCTGGAATATCTCCAGGCAGGATATAGTAAAAAAATATTCCCATGGGCAGAAGAAGGCCATCACAGCTCAACAAGTTGACAACACAGACACGAATCTGAGTTAGCAAAGTCCCGAGGCAGGTCAACTTGGTTCACCTGCCCAAGGACCCAAGGGTCGATAATCCCCATCAGCTGTCTCATTTCTCATCATTCTTTCCATTTTTACAAAGGACCAGAAAAACTGCCCTTAACAGCAGCCAGGGTTCTTATTTCCAACCCACTCTCTAATGGATGAACTATATGTATAGACTGTACTGTAATTTTCTGTCCAAATGGTGCAACTTTCAGACCACCACTCAGTCTGATTAAATTGCACACCTGAAGAATACCAAGATAGCATATTTTCCCTTTTGTTGAACCTTGATGACATACGTATCAATAAAGATATTATCTTTTTTGAGTTCTTTCAACTTTACTTCATTAATTTCATAAAGTGGCCAATTTAATTCACTCTTAAATGACAGGGATCCTCATGTCCATTTTCAACATCCAATTTTTGACAGTAACTATTTGTTCCATTGAAGGATACACTTAAAAACAGATTAAAACAAAGGAAGATTATGCATTCATTTTAGGCTGAGCAACAAGGCTATGTATATTGCCTGCTCTGTATGCCAAATAATAATGAGGTGCTGCTGACAAGGTCAAAGAGTTGGGGGGGGGGGGGGGGGAATTTGTTGATCAAGATCTTCATCTTCACACAAGTGTGCAAAATATATGAATTTCCACCCATGTTCAGCTAGTTTTAAGAAACAAATATTGGAAGAGGGAATGGCTCCCAGTGTCATACACCAAATGGATATGGCTGGTTTTAGGGAAATATCTGACTCACTTTGTCTTCTCAGTATACTTGACCATCAGTGGAGAGAAGTCATAGTGAAAGAAGACTCCAGGAATTCCACTATCCATCATGCTCATCAGGCTCTTTAAAGTACATGGGAAGGGATCCATCAATAAGGGCAATGATAGCTACACTAATTACTAGAAATGACATGCATATCAGTGTGAGATCATTATGGTATCATATAGCCTTAAGAAGAGAGTTGATGAAAAACATTTTGGGCACATGTAAAATTATTTTACATAGTTACATACTATCACAAAATGCAGATAACTGGGAGCCAAGTCCATCAATATCTTTAGTGTTGGCATACCAAATCATATAATTTTAAAATGCAATTTAGCCTATGTGTTCTGAATTGCAGGTACTTTTTTAAAAGTACCTGCAATATATCCACATAGAAGATTCCCATAAAGCAAACTCATAGGGGGCAGCAAAGTAGTACAGCATTAGTTGAAACCACTCAAGTAGTTTTTTTTTTTTTTTCCCAAGGTCAGTCCTTTAGATCAGTGCTTCTCAATCTTTTTTTTCTCAACCTTTGTCAGTCTCAGTGTCTTTGTCTCAGTGTATCACGGCAAAATGGCTACAAAGCACTGCTTTAGATAATAGGTACTTTACTAATATTGTCTCATCTGAACATATACATCAAAAAGCACATTCCCAGAAATAGATAATGTAATGGAACCAATAACTCAGTTTTTCTTTCAGTCCAGATGTATTTTTGTTGTTTTCTTTCTTTTATCTAGATTGGTCTGCATTATTGACATCAGCCAAGAGAGGGATAATGCTTTCCCACTGATGACACTGGAATAGGACTGCTGGACTGAGAAGCTTAACAAGGATAGCTGAAAAGGGTAGGCATATAAAGATAACAACATACTTTCTCATGGCGAGTGACTGAGAACTGGTTGGTATCCAGGGTGCTTCCATCTGCTCTCTCATACTTGGTGGGAACAATCTTCAAGTGATACTGGTACATCATCGCACCTGATGCAGGAGTTCAAAAGATAACAAGACACAATTACAAGTTTCACCTACTCAAGTTTATATATATTCCAGGGTGACCTATTTATAAAGCAACACATAAATGGTAGTCTCCTGCAAACACTATTGAAAGGAAAGGACAGAAATTTGGGGGATGGGGTACTGAGATGCATACACTATTTATACCCCAAACAAAAACAACCAAAATAAGTATATGCATATGAGTCAATGGTGGGAATTCCAAATCTGCAATAAAAATTTTTTGTTGCTAATAACTATGAGTCCTAGTTAAAGGGTTAAAAAATGTCATCATTGTGTCATTAGATTGCCTGAACTTCAAGATATTCATTATTTTGCATGAAAGAACCATTTGAAAAACATTTTGGGCACATGTAAAATTATTTTAAATGTCATGTTATTGGCATTTAAAATAATTTTGGACCCAGGGTAAAACACCCAATGATGGGCCTGTTAAGGGTGTGTACTCAGTGATGGACCACAGCACAAGAGAATCCCAAAAACTAGGCATTTCTAGCATGAACACCTCTGAAGTGTGTTTGCATGAGTCTTTTTCACAACAGGGGTTGATGTGCTATGGAAGCTTAGCTGTTGAAATTTTTATGTGCTGTGGCATCACTGGGAACTGGTCTATCATTGGGTATTTTACCCTACCTAATTTCTACTTCAAATAGTTTTGTAGATACACACTTGTATCTAGTAGGGTATAGAACTGGGTTGCTTTCGGGGTTTAATAAATTCATGAAGCCTACCAACAAAATATTTGAGGCATTCCAGCTCAAATGGCCAAATTTCTGGAACTTTAGCTGTGCATCTGACAGGGAATAGCTTGAGAAAATTCATACATTCATTCATGCAAAGTACTTCATTATTTTCAAAGATCTCCATTTATATGGTACAACATGTTGAACCAGGGAAAGTGATTTGCCTCTCAATGCCTGGTTGGATACTAAAAAATGTATAAGATATTTCATTCAAGCATGTACCTTGTCTGAAACCCAAAAGAAGGAAAAGGAATAATAGGAGAGGATGAAATTTCATGTTTTAATTCACTGATATTTGAAATAAATTTTAAAATGGACCCAAACCTTTTCAAAAGTCTGTCAAAATATACCCAGATCTGGTTGAGCCATCAGGAGTCCTATTGTTAGAAAGTTGGATAAAATACTTCAAGAGAAAAAATGGAAAGTTCACTGGAACAAAAAATTCAATTAAAAAATTCAAAGAAACAGCACAAGTCATACAACCTCAGAAAAAGCTTCAAGGGAGCTTTCAATTGACACCAGTTTCAAGTTACTATCTTGTCTCAAACAGAAAATATATGCTGTCCAAAGTGTGTGAAAAACAGCAAAATTGGACTTTTAAAATTCAATTTGCTGTTGTTTTAAAAAAAAGTATGTGGTTATAATTAAGCTGTTTCCATTATCAAATAGAATTGGAATGTTGCAAAAACTTGTCACATAGAAAAGTCCCTCAGTTAAATCTGATTCAGCTTTGTCTCAGCTTTCATTTGAGTTGAAGAACTTCTTTCTCACCCAATTATGGGCAAAATTGGGCGACTGACCCATAGTCACTTTTACCCCGGGTGTTAACTTTGGAGCAGAATGCCTCGAAAACCGTTTGTTAGAGCGGTGAAATTTCAGATTATTTATGTAAGTCAGGGAGTTCACAATGTACGAATATTTTCAAGCAAATCCCTGTCGGACGCATAACTATAATTTGATCACTTGAGCTGAAAAGCCTCATTTGCGAAATCAATTCGCAATTTTCGTTCACTCCGTTTCCTATCTCTTTCTGGAATGGCGCCTGGGGAAACATTTAATTTTACTGGAAAGCGGTTCTAGGGTCTTCCGGTCGAAAAAAAAAGATAAGGTAGTATATGAGGAGTGATGCTTTGTTCCTAACGGGTATCTAAGGCACAGTGCGCTCTAATCACTCTCAAGAGTAATGCAGACGTTTTTATTGCTCTGTGAAACAGGTCTCATGAAACCAACACGCATGCGTATTCCCTTTCCAGCTGCTCATGCACGTGCGGCTCGTGGGTACGGGATACATTGCCGCAGACCAAAGGAAAGCGCCCTCTAAAAGAACCCAATATGGCGATATTCATGGCCACAATGGCAACTAGCTAGTCGAGCAGCAAGCTTCGGACGGGCTTGGTAGTTATTCTTTTCGTTTCGAGTGCGGCTACGCAGTCACGTCATGAATGCCTGCGACTAAATTTGATTAAGTTAGACATAGCAAAGGTTTGATGTGCACGTCAAGTTAAATCATCGCTGACAAAGCCGGTGTCGTTGACGAAGTCTGTGAATAAGAGGGTGCCGGTACATAAAATCGGTCCAACCTAGACTAGTCTTACTGTCATGTCATCAGCTAGGCTGGTGCGACGTGAAGCGCATATCAGAAACCGCATGATGGGCGTTGAAGTTCTAACTTGACTAATGATTAAACTGACTGATTCGATGCACTGGCACCTGTAGAGTAACGTTAGGCCTAGCGCTTCAAGTCAATTACTGTAGTGCAAGCGCAGGCAAAGGCTAGTGCCTGAGTCTAGCATTAGGCATCACAACTGGGCGCATTCAGTTGTGACCCAAGTCATGACTCGAGGTTCATGATTCTCGGCAGGTGCAGTGCTTTTCAAAAACTAATATACCCAGGATTGATGACATGGACAAGAGGTGTCACCATGGAGTAAAATTTATTTTGAAGCTCCAATGCAAGCATTGAACTGAGACCCTCAAGTTATGACTCAGGTCACAACTGAATGCACCCACTATTGGTAGCTTTTGCAACAGCCCATCATTGTTGATCTATCTAACACTGACCTAGACTACCAAGAAAACTCCTTTAGCATGTCTCTCCATTAGGATATTCTCATAAGTTAGTTCCTGCTAAATTGCAGCACTTCACAAAAATCATTCCATCTACAGGTGCTCAACTGTAAAATAAATATATGCATATATAGGGCTTTCCCCACCACACTTCTACTGATAGGAGAAAATGCCAGTCCCAGTTGGTGGGGGATACTCAGGGCCCAGTTGCTGGGATAGGGTCAAACTGGGCTTCACAATTGGTTTCTGTGTAGGTATGGCTTCTGGTGCTCTCTTTGGTGGATTCACAGCACTTAGGTGAGCAATCATATTCGGTTATAGGCTCTACTGGGCCCTCCATGTAACAGGCCTAGCTCCTAACCCTTTAATATCCCACACCTAAGTATACTAAGGGTCGCCTCATAGGCAGAATCATCACAAGCCCAGCATTTTATTTCCTAGGGACAGTCTAGTAGGTAAGTGAACCAGCTAAATAAAACAGAAGGTAAATCATCTTGTGGAAAGCAAAAAACTGCAATTTATTGCATAATTTGATGCAGCTAATAGGATTCCTGAAAAACTTAGGATGAGAGAGTGTGCTTAGCTTTGGAAACTTGGAATTTAACCCTAGAGCTGCCAGGCATTGATAAAATTTATGGTTGGCAGTTTTAGGGTTAACCAGGAAAAATCAGTTCAGCATGCCAGAACAGTATCAATGCCTTGTATTTTTCAGCAAAGGGTGGCAAAGCAGCACAATAGGAAGCTGAGCTTTTTTTTTACATCTATATCAAAAGAGATTTACAAATACAATAGAATCCTAATTTTCTTATTGTTGAGGCATAGATGCCCTCATAATTTTTTCCCTCTACTAGAAAATAAACTTTCAACCTGTCCACAAAGGTCAACCATGACCTACACCCTTTGTTATATTTGTAATTGCAATGATCTATGTTCTATTGCAGGTATGGACTACGTGGCAGAGAGTTGGTGAACAATCTAGGAAAAGTGATGCTCCAAGGTGGAGGGACATTTGGAACTTTCATGGCAATAGGAACTGGTATTAGGTGTTAAGGCAATATTGGATTGTGCCATCATTTAGGCTGGCTATTTTGTGTGATACTCCTTTATTGACATATCTGTGTGAAAAAGGAATATCCATCTCTCATTGTCTTGTCATTTTATTTGAAAAAAAAATCACATTTCTGCTGCAGTCAATAGGGATGAGAATGTTTCCCTGATTATAGGACCTAGTTATTTAGGAAGGGTACCAACTTTTCTCCTTCAGGGATAATAACATGCATGACCTTTATTTCATTCAAATAGTCAATAAATAAAAGGGTCTCCATCTGAGTTCATTGAATGAAAATACTTAGATGACATCTAATCCCACATTATGACATGGAAAAACTATGAGAGAAGTTGGATATTGATCAAAATTTAGGCCTGAATGCACAAACCTCATTTTGGGAAGGTAATAGGGCCTTTATGCTCTTTTTCCTCCATAGGAAGCCATGCATTCTTAACCCCTTCATCTATCAATTATTAGGGCTTTGAGTGCCAGAAAATAGCATTTACTTTGAACAAATCTTATGGAAGGAAACAACAAGTGTCAAAATAACACATGAAATAATAACTTTGACATGAAAAAGCTCTCAATTGACTAGGAGAGGGTTCCTATAACTTTTGTGCCATCACTTATAAGGCATAAGGTATAACTCATCAAATTAAAAGGCAACACACATATTCAAATTCATTGCTTTGGTACAAGCAGCAGATGAGACATTATTAGAGATGAAGGGGCTAAAGGACTAAAGTCCTTTGGAGCCTAGAGTCCTTTAACCCTTCAGTACGGGCAGGACTCAGAAGTCATGCATTTTCTTCTCATATGTTATAGAGTTATACAGGAGTGCACAACCTAGAGACCATGGGAGGATTCTGAGTCCCAGTTTATAGTAGTTCACCTGATGTCAAGTTGACAGCAGTCCATAGTAATATGAAGCTGCTGTATTTCCTCCAGCACTTCAAAAATGAGGTCATCTTTTGCATTTATTTCAGCTAATGCATTTCTTTCCCAGTCAATTTTTTTGTTTCTGCAAGCTAGATAATGGAAAGTAGTACAGGAATGCTGGGAAACATACGACGTAAAGTAGGGATATGAGTACTAGCTAATCATAATGTTATTTATTAATTTTAAAATTTGTAAAATAAGAAATATTTATTTTATTTATGGAAACCATTTTAAAAGCACTTTTATTTTATGAGCCTTATCGAAGTCCAAAAAGAATGACATTTTTTCAATGCCTAGAACATAATTCAGGACTGAAAGGGTTCAAGATCAGCTAAAGGAGGTTTCGGCATTTGGGCCTTAGCCTTTATCACATTCATTATGCCATCAATCTTAATAATAATAATCTTAATATTGCCATCAATCCTAAAGATTATGAAAAACATGTAGGCTTTTCACAACCTGCTGTTACAGCCTGGCCAGACATATCTTCTAATGGACTGCTTTTTGTCATTACGGTTGTCGAGATCATTTTGCTTCAAAGCCTGAAAAACTAAAAAAGATGATGCAGTGAACCTAAGGAATTAGATTAACTTAATCTCACAGTCTGGCTGATAAAAGTTACCACAGCATAAGTTACCCTTTGGGTAAATATTATCAAGATATATGTTGAAGTCAACACTGACGTAAAACCACCACACTGCAGGAGAGACACTATGGTAGGCAGAGTCCATTAATTTCTAATGGCTTCTATATTTTTCAGAATTTCGATTTGCAATAGAAGGGACTCACCTTTTTCAGAGATGACTACTGTACTATCCAGAGGGTCATTGTGGGTGCGAATATGCCTTCCAAAAGAGAGGTGCTGGATGGTATGAGTCAAATTGACACTTTCAAGGGACATTGTCTGAAGGTCATGCACTGCAAAAGAATAGATTCTTTAACTTGTAATATTGACCTGGAAGAGAAGAGGATGGAAATGCATTAATTACTTACCATGTACATGTTCTCCTGAGTAGGTCTTCCCAGGAGCAAAATGGAAATTCCCTCCTACCTGCACAGAGCATTTGAATGTTCTGAGAACATGACATTTTTGTTCTCCTCCTACATCAAATCTGGGCCTATAAGGCTAGTCATTGAGTACACATGAACACATTATTCTAAGAACTTACAATCTAAGCAATGAAGGATATTTTCCATTCCATCATACTGAATGTATACATGTTCACATAACTTATTTACATCTGTTGCAATTTCCTCTTCCTTGAGTCCACATGTGACTGAATGACCATACAAGTATAGCTAAATCATAGAAGCTGCAATTACAGGTACAATCAGTGCATTACTTTTGTCAACCATTTCTGCAAGCATGAGAAGCAAGTAGATAAGCTCTTGAGTTAGTTTTTCTGCACCACATATATATGGTAGGCCTACAGTCAAAAGAAAGTGATTCAGGAGGCATAATTTCTCAAAGTTCAAAATATTAAAATATTTTTCATAACCTAATACTGACTCTCGAAGTGAATTGTGAATCACAAGCAAAAATGTTCTCAAATTTTGGACCAAGTAGAAAAACAGATCCCAACCAAATACAGAATGACTTCAATATCCCCCCAAAGTACTGGAATACCTACAATTAATTACACATCATGCAAGCCAGGAATGGGTGGAAAACTGAAAAATAAGTCATTCTGAATAGCTAACAATAATTATACTAACAGACTGGATGCTCATTGTTCTGCTGTCAATTTTTTTAAAATAAAAATATGCAAAATATAAGGTTCAAATTATTCTGGCAGGAATCTCAAATTTGAGGACTTTAAAAATACTGCATCATCCAACATAGATTAAACTTTTTAGTCAGGCCTTAGGATAGAAAGTACAAAATTTATGCATGAACATACACAGGAATTAGTAAGGGGAAGGGCTTAATTGCACAATTCTTACTGAATGTCACAATCGTTCCCAAAAAATACATGCAAACTCTAAAGACCACTGGACCATTCTCTTCCTATTAAACCATACTTCCAAAGAAAAGGAAAAGAGGTGCAATACTAATGCCACTGAGGAAGAGCAATTTTTTTCTTAGGCTCCCTGGGAGGTTCACTCTCAAAAACATAATGCATCCAACATCATTCCTTCACCTCCCCACTCCCAGGGAAAATGGGTAAAAAAAAAAAAAGACATTTGGCCATCTTCCATAATCTCCTTCAAGTCAGGGTGTGCAAAGAAAACCTTTCATTGATGTGAAGGTCTTAATTCCTACTGCTACCATCCATAAATTTCCTTCTCAGGACCTTGTCTTCCAAAGCTGTCCTTGAAAAACATCAGCCAAATTTTACTGCATGAAATTAATCAAATTTTAATTCTAAACATTAAATTGCAACTGTTAGAAATGATGTCAGTAAACACAGAAAAATAAAACTACCAGAACATATTGCATATACAGGGTGGACCAAAAAAAAAACAAAGCTGTCACTGTTGGTGAGTTGTCAATCTGATCATAGCCTGTCAATTCTGATGAAATTTGGTAAACATATAGGGTGAACGATAAACTATGAACCTTAGCAAACTCAATTTGGGTTTGTGTGCTGAGTTTAAAATCAAAATTCCAAAAAACTGTGAGAACAGCATTTAATTTACTTTTGATCACAAAAATATAAGTGTTCATTTTAAAATTTAAACCAAAAATTTTGCCACCAGGTTCATCAATTTTTCAGATGACATATTCAACCCTACTCCTTGACCAATTTTTGTATGGAAATTCACTCATCATTTTCTTTCCACCATATCCTTTTTCAAGTTGCAAGTTTTTGTTAAGAGTAAGATTGTGTCACTTATGTAAGGCACTTTTGACAATGCACATTCACCTGAAACACGGAAAGAAAAATGTAAAATTTTTAGAAAATTTGAAATCCTACTTGATATTCAGTGAGCTGGCCTAGGCTTTTTAAAAATTATTTATTGTAAGTAGGTTGGCTTTAGTCTAGCCTAGCTTAAAAACTAACTTAACTGATTGTGGCAGGCGATCATGGATTCCACTAATACAGACCTCTGGTTCATGTCGATATTTTCAACAACAAATTATGGTGGGTTGCTAGAAAATAATTACAGCTCCTATAATTTTAGAGCCAGAAGGCTGAAATTTGGCACACAAACCCCAATTGTGTCACTCTATAAGCCTACCAAATTTCATCAGAATTGGCAGCCTACAATCAGACTGACAATTCACCAAAAATGACAGCTTTGTTTTGTATATATATATTTTTTTAGCCCGTGCTGCATATTGTGTGGAGCTTTTTTCTTTGGAAAAGGATAAGAAAAACTGAGCAGTGAGTCAGTCAGGTTTTCCAAAATTCTGATGATAATTAATTTTCTCAATTATTTTTAATCATCAGACATTCATAATAATAAGAAATTACTTCAGCTATATAAAAGAAAACATACTCTGTTAACATCCAGATATCCATATATGTGGCAGCCTTCCTTGACAGCCCATTCAATCTCTTTGCGTGAAGATTCATCCTTGCATTGCTCGATCTCATCCATGGAACGAATAGCCCAACCTTTCTCTCGGTATGCATCTGACACTTCTCGGCAACTGTTGCAACACCTTGACAAACAGATTCCATTTAACTCATCACAGGGCTGTTTGATGCCAACCAGAAAGCATAAGACATACAAGGCCAGATTAGCCAAAGCAATATCAACCAATCCACTTTCATTCATTTATAACAAGTATCTTTTGTTGGGGGAGTTTGGTAATAGGATACAATAAGAGATTTATTGGCAAATCTTCCTTACGGTCTTGTTTTGGTTTCTGCCCCATAGCAGCTCCCACATTTTGGCTCATTCTTTGTTGCCACTGCTGTTGTATTCTGCCCAACTATTGTTCCAGGATCTGAAAAGAATCCAATAAGCCAAAAAAATTTACTATTTCATACATGTTCAACATGACCAATAATAAGTTTTGTGAACTCTTTATGGTTGTTGCATCATTTGAGAACTGAGAGCACCATCTGGTGAGACTAATGCCACTTGCTTTAGGTAATTGCAAAATATTTGGCTTGTGAAAATGTCAATTTTGTGGGGAACAGCACAGAAAACTTTGAGAACTGCAAATTTTAAAAGAAAATGCTGAAATTGTCATCATTGCCCAAAAGGCCTTGAAATCCTTTCAACTTCTTTCAAAGCTTATAAAGGCTCATCAAAATATAGCAAAGCTGAAAGATGTTTGTTTTTTATCACTTAATAATCCTTTTGCTGTGACATTTGACTTGAGTTGAACTGCACCTGTATTCCCTTTGAGAAGTTCGACTATAGTCCACATTCGCATTCTTGTTGGCCTGTTGCAACATTTGACTTCAGTCCCATCAAAACAAAATTTCTTATGCCATAACTTTTGGATTGTTGATGGATCAGGATACAGGCATTTAGTGGTTTTGGATTAATCTCATCCAATTGACTGAGCATGACAGAATTTTGAGGGAATGTAGTATATCTGATTGATTGATTTCAAATCAAATGACTCAACTCTATAGAGGAGTTTCTGCAGCTGACATCATGTGGAACTTCAAATGAAATGAATTGGCATGCAAATGATGCATGAACACTAACCTTCCACACACACCTCAATACAGGATGAGTCAAAAGTCACTGGACGACTTTGAACAGCTATAACTCAGCAAGGAAGGCATTAATTTGCAAATGGTTTTTTGCACGTGAAAGAGCATGCAATAATTGACGAAACAAACATGGAAATTTGCATTAATAAGAAATGGCATATGCCTGCACTAAATGAAAAGCAACATTTTTCAACATAAAAGGGATATTTAGGATATGATGGACCCTAAATTCAGATTCACCATTATTTTTTGTTAATTTTTGCTGCTCCAAATGGTTTTCTGATAGTACTAATGAACGTTTGGAGGAACGTGTCGCCATTGTTAATTTATCCCCTATCTGTGAAGGAAATCTTTCTGAAGTGAAGGGTCTTTTTGCTTTGAAGACAGGTGGATAGGGCGGGTCAGGCCTATCGAGTGGCCTCCCAGGTCACCAGACCTGACTCCATTTGACTTTTGGCTGTGGTGTTTCATTTAAAGACCAGGTGTATGCTAAAAATTTGTGCACAATCATTGAACTGAAGCAACACATTGCTGAGAAGATTGTTGGAGTTGCCTTTTGGTGATGGCTCGTGTGATTGAGCTTGATGGTGCTCAATATCATGGCCAGTAATTACAGTCATTTCCAGGCCAAATAAAAAAAGGACTTATTTTTTCAATGTTGCATATTTGTTTTTTATTGCATGCTCTGATACAAAAAACTGTTTGCAAATTTATGCCTTCCTTGCTGAGTTATAGCTGTTCAGTGACTTTTGACTCACCCTGTACTTCATTTACCAAGATCCTTTGAACCCCTTTCTTGAAATAACAAATACAGATACAGGGTGCGCGAGTTTAAACAGGTAAAATCCAGATAATACAAGATTTTCTTGACCTATGTTATTGATTCAAGATTCTCAGTTATCAGTAAGACTTCAAAGAATGCAGACCCCAAACAGATTGGATGATTATGAGTGGCCTGAGGAGTGGAGAAGGAAGGTGATAGTCTACTCCATCTGCGCCGGGATGACCAACAACGACATCGTAGACAAAGTTGAAGTTGCCATTGATGACAATCCAGAGAATTAGGAAGCAGTTAGTGGATTCAGACTTTGATGTGGAGGCCATGGCTGCCAGAAAGACACAAGATCGAGCTGAACAGAGGGTGAGGAGTGGCGATTTCATTTCAAATGTGCAGCAACTCATTGACAACGACCTCTCCATCTCAATCCGTGAGATTTCTTTACGTCTGGGCCATTCTGAGAGCACTGTGAGACTTTGTTTGAATGAAGATCTTCGCTATAAGTCCTACAAGATGCGAAGTGGACAGCTTCTTACTGAAACGACAAAAACGAAACGTCTTGTGAAGAGCAAGAAACTTTTGCACAAAATCAAGCATCCCCAGGAGCCAAACATGTTGTGGTTTTCTTCTGACGAGAAAAACTTTTGCCAGGATCAGGCACACAACAAGCAGAACAACAGATGGTTGGCTGTGAGTCCTAAAGATGTGCCCAGAGTCATGAAAACAAAGTTTCCTGTTCACATCATGGTCTTCAGTGTCATCAGCAGTGATGGGCATGTTATGCCCCCACACATCTTTGAAGAAGGCCTGAGAGTGAACCAGAATGTGTACCAAGACATTCTGGCGACCGTAGTCAAGCCTTGGATTGAAGAAGTTGCCACAGGAAGACCATACGTGTTCCAGCAAGATTCTGCACCAGCACACACGGCCAGGAAAACGCAGAAGTGGCTCGAGGATAACTTTTTTGACCATGTTACCCCTTATATGTGGCCTCCAAACTCACCTGACTGCAATCCTCTTGACTATTATGTGTGGGGCGCGGTTGAAAGGATCACTAATAAGACTGCCTGTAACAATAAAGCTGAGCTGAGGGAGAGAATCTGCCAGGCATTTCAAGATTTGTCTCCTGAGATTGTAAAACGCTCCTGTTCTCGCTTCCGAGGTCGTCTGGAGGCTGTGATTGATGCTGAAGGTGGCTTTATTGAATAAGTTCCATCTATAAAGCACTACCTTGCTCTTGTTTCTGGAATTTTCAAAAGTTCCTAACTTCAGTTAACCTCTGGAAATCAAGTGCATGACTGGAGAGATTTTTTCATAGAGTTAACATCAATTGATAGTAACTTTATGAAAAGCCTTGATTCATTGAATGCTTATGTAATTTAAACTTTTAGAAGATTGTGATTCTAGAGCTAGAGTCATTCTCCATCCATGGATTGTAAAAAATTATCTCTTTGGAAATGAGAAATGGTCTGGAAGCTCCCCTGATCTGAATGTGGTTGAGAACACTGGAGCTATCCTAAAGGAGTAAGTTGAGGCTCTTGAGAATGCAGAGGATGAGCAACATTAATTCTGCTGGGAAACCTTGCTAACCAACATCATCTTATTGTTGAAGAACATGGAAGATGGTATGGAACTCTCTGTGTCTCACATCATCTTATTCCACTTGTTGTGGAGCTGTCACAGAAATGAAAATCAGGGGAAAGCACATGAATAACTAACAGTAAGTTATTACATTGAAAAAATAATCTTTTCTCTTTTTCATTGGGTACCAGCTCCTTTCCTAGTTTTAATGGTTTAGGCTACAGAGGGAGGGAAGGGGAAACTATCTATGTGCAACACCAGGGACAATGGTTAATAGGTTTCAATGAGTGAGATACTATGAGATCGAATTCCTCGAGGTATATTAACCCTTTCAGACATGAATTAAGGCCGCTATCGAATAATATTCTTTTTTGCATTTTTGAGCTCTTTTGTGATTGTAATTGAAAATTTCATGCTTTATATGTAGTTTTATATTTTGTATAAATTTAACATATCATACCATATATTATATATTTATATATTATATTTAATTAAATGACTGAAGATTACAAAACTAATGGGTGAAAGAAGGCCTCTGATGGAACTGAGCCATGTATAATTGCACCCATTGTAACGTAATATGGAGCACAAAGTCACGAGTCCTAAGAAATTGCCATAGACACAATGTAAATGCAATGTCCATTGGAATGGACACCAGGTCTGAAAGAGTTAAACAAATAGCAGAATATTAATTAGTGTGAACTTGAAAATATTCAGAATACATGCAGCACTGAGTCTTATTGATAAAGCAGATTCTATTGACCTTCTTCTCGTTCAGGATTTGCAATGGGCTTCCCATCCATATCCAACTTGATCTTGTATATATTATGAGTGATGTCAGTCTGCCTTTCTCCACTGTTGTCCATGGAATCCAATGAAATAACTGCAAATATACAATTCAGACATCATAATGTCTCAATTAAGTAGGCATAGGTCTAGAGTCAAACTATTAGGTGCGATATAAAAATACCNCAGAAGTGGCTCGAGGATAACTTTTTTGACCATGTTACCCCTTATATGTGGCCTCCAAACTCACCTGACTGCAATCCTCTTGACTATTATGTGTGGGGCGCGGTTGAAAGGATCACTAATAAGACTGCCTGTAACAATAAAGCTGAGCTGAGGGAGAGAATCTGCCAGGCATTTCAAGATTTGTCTCCTGAGATTGTAAAACGCTCCTGTTCTCGCTTCCGAGGTCGTCTGGAGGCTGTGATTGATGCTGAAGGTGGCTTTATTGAATAAGTTCCATCTATAAAGCACTACCTTGCTCTTGTTTCTGGAATTTTCAAAAGTTCCTAACTTCAGTTAACCTCTGGAAATCAAGTGCATGACTGGAGAGATTTTTTCATAGAGTTAACATCAATTGATAGTAACTCTATGAAAAGCCTCGATTCATTGAATGCTTATGTAATTTAAACTTTTAGAAGATTGTGATTCTAGAGCTAGAGTCATTCTCCATCCATGGATTGTAAAAAATTATCTCTTTGGAAATGAGAAATGGTCTGGAAGCTCCCCTGATCTGAATGTGGTTGAGAACACTGGAGCTATCCTAAAGGAGTAAGTTGAGGCTCTTGAGAATGCAGAGGATGAGCAACATTGATTCTGCTGGGAAACCTTGCTAACCAACATCATCTTATTGTTGAAGAACATGGAAGATGGTATGGAACTCTCTGTGTCTCACATCATCTTATTCCACTTGTTGTGGAGCTGTCACAGAAATGAGAATCAGGGGAAAGCACATGAATAACTAACAGTAAGTTATTACATTGAAAAAATAATCTTTTCTCTTTTTCATAGGGTACCAGCTCCTTTCCTTGTTTTAATGGTTTAGGCTACAGAGGGAGGGAAGGGGAAACTATCTATGTGCAACACCAGGGACAATGGTTAATAGGTTTCAATGAGTGAGATACTATGAGATTGAATTCCTCGAGGTATATTAACCCTTTCAGACATGAATTAAGGCCGCTATCAAATAATATTCTTTTTTGCATTTTTGAGCTCTTTTGTGATTGTAATTGAAAATTTCATGCTTTATATGTAGTTTTTATATTTTGTATAAATTTAACATATCATACCATATATTATATATTTATATATTTAATTAAATGACTGAAGATTACAAAACTAATGGGTGAAAGAAGGCCTCTGATGGAACTGAGCCATGTATAATTGCACCCATTGTAACGTAATATGGAGCACAAAGTCATCTCAGGATTCTTTAACGGTATCTGTGTTACATTTACGTTACAGGTAACCTTACCTGTGGTCCAGACTTTCTCAATTTGTTTATCGTCTTATAATTAATCACACTTGAACTTTTATAAGTCTTATGTAGCAGCATGGAGTCTTATTGATAAAGCAGATTCTATTGACCTTCTTCTCGTTCAGGATTTGCAATGGGCTTCCCATCCATATCCAACTTGATCTTGTATATATTATGAGTGATGTCAGTCTGCCTTTCTCCACTGTTGTCCATGGAATCCAATGAAATAACTGCAAATATACAATTCAGACATCATAATATCTCAATTAAGTAGGCATAGGTCTAGAGTCAAACTATTAGGTGCGATATAAAAATACCCTCAGTCTTTTTTTTCCTCATAGACCAGCAATTAAACTAATGTCCTGTGTTCCCCACAGTATGCATCCTCTGGGCTAGTGAAGACCAGTTGTGATGGCTGCTGTTGCATGTGTCCACATGGCAGTTCATACACTAAGTAGTCCGTGAACATGGTGGATTATGTGCTGATGAATTTTTGTGTGTAATATTGCCCACAAAAATCCATCAACACATATTTGGTGGTGGTTTCCACGCACATATGTGAAAAAACCACCACCAAAATCAGCTGTATATTACTGAAAATCCATCACCATATCACAATCCACCACACTCACAGAGCACTCAGTGGATAGATCACTATTAGAACACCTACAATAAGAGATCAGTCACAACTGATTTTTACTAGTCCAGATACTGTACACAATGGACAGCACTAAACATCAGTTTTATAGCTGATACTATAAGGGAAAAATTTGCCATTGTAATATTGTGATCATGAACACAGTCCATTATCAACTTACAACCACAAGCAATCCTTGGGAACACCATATCAAAGTTGATTCGTAGCTTTTGGCCTCGAGAGAGATCAACAAACAAATCTTCCTTAATCTCCACCTTCAGGTAGTCATTCAATTCAGCCATGAAAAGCAGGACCATCAAAATGCTGCTCACCAGGGTCACTGAAATCATGAAGAAAGAGAATTGCAAGAGGGTCTGAAAAATGACTTGGTAATTCCATTAGCATGTTCAGACAATCACACTCACAGTTTTTTCTCAGCATGTTTGGTTGATTACCTTATGGCTACCTTTGTGACCAACACCATTACAGCCCCTGTGGTGTCCACATAGTCCATCTACTTTTCACCTTCTTAGTGCAGAAGTTTATATCACAGTCAGAAACTAAGCCTACAAGAACCACTATTACTATAGTTTATCCAGGCATTTGAGAGCAGGCAGATCATTGGACACCCACAAAAATGTGACAACTCCAGTCTCCAGGGCATGACAAATATCATTGTAGAAGGCCTTTCACTGTCTCCCCCCTGTGTTGGGTATATCTCAAAGAGGAGTACGTCAATACTGCCAGAAAATATGACAGAGGGTGACATGCAATCATTTAAACTTTAAAATTGTACATTAAAAACCTTTTATTGAATATCTAGACAGGATGTAATAAGAATTTTCCTACTGGTGAAAGAAGGCCACCATAGCTCAACAAATTGACAACACATGCACAAATCTGAGCTAGTAAACTCTTGAGGCAGGTCAACTCTATCTGCCCAAGGACATGGATAATCCCTATCAGCTGTCTCATTTCTCTTTGTTCTTGCCATTTTTACAAAGGACTGGACAAATTGCCCTCAATGGCAGCCAGGGTTCTTATCTACAACCTGCTCTCTAATGCCTGGATGAACCATACCAATCATTGGCACTCAACATTATATGCAGGAGTCTAACAACAAAGATTTATGGATTAGAGTAGCTTCTGCTCCAAATAATCATCCCTTGAAAGTGTTGTATCAAGGATGTGGCAGAATAAATTAGTCTTCCCATCTCAAATATCCCAGATCAGGAAGAAACTGAGGGGGTAAAAGGGGAATCATCTCACAGAGTGGATAACAATTAGGCATTTAGGATGCCTGCAGAAAAAAAAAACTTCTGCTAATTCGCCTTGTTTTTTCAGTGCAGGTACTGCTCCTGTCATAAGGTACTGCTCCTGTCAACCAGACAAATTTCATTCATCAGATGGAATACATATAGGATCCATGATTATAGGAGAAGGAATTAAGAGATGGGACTGGGTGAAAGAGGAGACATTAAAAAGCATGGATCTTGCATTCCAATAAGTCATGCATGAGATGGTGTGAACAAAGGGGCCATAAGTCCCAATAGGAAAGACAAGGGGACAGCTTTATAACAAGTGGAAAATGTCTTCCTTGGAATTTTTGGTGTCCACCCTTTCTTCTCTACAATTCCCCAAGACTCTAAAAAACCACATTGGACAGATTACTGTATAGTAGTACCACTTTCGCTCAATACATCATATCTATATTTTGATGATGATAGAGACATTCCTTTCCTCTGTTTAATGTAAATGATTGAGCCCAAAATGTACAGCTAATGACAAGTAAGCTTGCACATAATCTTGATTCATAGGTAAAATATCTGTGAAAAACAACCAAATGGTTTTTTTTGTCGTTGAACAATCAACTGGTTGGGAGGCTGTTTTTGCATCTGTACCGTTGACAGTTATCAGATTTCAGATGAAAACCACAAGATCACTCATGGAAGTACCACTTGTCTAAATACATTATCATGAATCATATGCAAACTATAAAATGGACCTCAAAATGAATGGGATTGATATCATCTTTCAACATCAATTCAATGAAAACTCATTGAAAGTATGGTACCAATAAAAATGCCTTCCAATAAGGAAATCCCTCCCTTGATCCCCTCCTATAAAATATACAAGAGAGGGAGAATCAAGAGAAAGAATTCAGGAATGATTTTGACAGACCTGAAAATTAATTTCAGTACTTGGGCCCTCTCTTAGATTGTAGGTTAGGTTTCCTACATCAAAATTGTTCTTTCTCTCACACCATAGGTAGTGATAACGGTCTACGATATAGATTGGTGAGTTCATTTAAAATCAGATAAGTTTTTCTGGGCCATGTGCAAGGGACTTTTGATTGTTGAAGGGTACAATCCTGAGATAAAACTTAAACTATACCTAAAACACAATCATTTATGGTTACCCAGAATTGGGCCAATTTCTTTTCAGCCTGTTTGAGTTCACTTACTAGAGTTAAAAAAAAAATGTTCCCATCAATTTGAGTTGAGTATGGTTTTGAATTGTTTTCCTTCATCCTTCGTTCTTTGTTTAAGTTCTATTTCAATTATAATCACTTCTCACTCACTTGTTGGTGCAGACTTAGCTAGAGTAGGGCATTTGAATGAGTGAAAACTTCCTGAGAAAGTTAACACTACCAGCATACACCAGATAAAGCTTGGTGTTTTGATTGTTTATGTTTCCATTTGGTTCCATGAGACAATCCAACCTTCTGCACCACACATATTTGTTACAACTCTGAGATATGCAGAAATCTCAGTCATCATCACAAGGCCATCTGCAGGAAGACATAGCCTTGAGATAATAAAGATTTCCAATCTCAAAAGTAATTGAACCATTGCAATGAACTAAAACTCAATGCATTTGAAAGCTACCTAAGAGATCTTTTATTTGTTCCTTTAACCCCTTAACTGGGTTAGACATTTTTTTTTATGTTTGACCTCCCATGGGTTACAGTGTATTTGGTGAAAACTTCCCAGCTAAGGGGTTAATTCACTCTCATTGTGCAAACAAAGAAGTCATCATCTAACAAAGGTAGGTGACCTTTAACTTCAATTTGCTCTAAAACCCTTTTTATTTTAATACTTTTTTTAAATTACCAAACAGGAAGTATTGTAATGACTAACCATGTGGGGTGCAGGATCTAGATTCAAATTTCCTGCTCCTTATGGCAAAAGCATTGCACCAACTCAACAATTCTCAACAACTCATGGATTAATAGGAAAACGGAAACAGCCATTAGTATAGTAGGACTTTCTTCAGAGCAACCTGCAATCTTGCCCCTAGTGCTCAGTGCATGCAGCAGCAAGGACAAACAAGTAGTCTCACCACATTTACCAGATAATGAAGGTAAAAATTATCAACATAGCATTTAACATAATTCCTGAATGAAGGAGTTTCAGAAAATGAATGACAACTCAAAGGCACACAGTATTTTCCACAGATAGGTTTAAATTTTTATTCAATGAATACCTGAACCAATTTTGCCAATTCTCAACTGCTGAATGAGGTGGAGATATAAAGCTGCTCTAACATTCCACCATGGCTGCTGCAGTAAGTGTCAGAGTTTCTCCACGCAGATGAAAATTTGTGCTATGGACCTATCTAATTGTAATTCATGATTGTTCAAATTTAGAGTTAGTCAAATAGCCAATAGACCATCAGATAAATAAATAAATAAAAAACCCTCTGCAAAGGATGAAGATAACTCCATAAAGAACAGATTTTGTTCTAAATCCCTCCCCCAAAAACAAAAATACGGAATAGGAAATATCATCAACTATTTACCTACCCCAATAGTCCAAAATTTTAAAAGCATGCAGGCCTGTCCAGAGTGTCAGATGTGACATCTGGCACAATGTATTTGAAACACAAAATCTACTCAACAAAAATATAAATGACAATTAAACACATGAAGGTTGTAAGATAGCCCTAGGCAGTAATTAAAACTCCATTAGTTAAAGTCTTGCATACTCTCTTTTGCTAGAGGTTTTCAAGTGTATGAAGGTCAGATATGACATGTTCAGAAAGTTTAATTTAAAAAGAAAACTGTACGTGTATTGTTCTGTTCAGATTAGAATTATATTATTCAAATGTGAACAATCAACATCTTTCCTTCACACCTGAGCTGATTTTAAATTATCACTCAGCATGGGAGAACCCATTATGGCATGAACTCCAGTAGCCCTATTATGTCTTTCCAGATGAACATTTTCATCACATCAATGAGAATCACAATTGTGGTTCTAATATATATATATAAACATCTAATTCTCTTTTTTTAAATAATAATATTCTCTTTTATTCATACCTTCAGAGACTAGACTTTATGAACATTTATATAAAATGAAGTATCCACCAATTTAGTGAAATTTCATTCCAGACTACTTCGCATGGATAGACCCATGCATGTCCAGTCTTGAAAAATTATCTTTAAAAATTCTGGTTGCTTTTCTTTGACCAAATTTGGATTAGAAACCAGCACTACAATGAATATGTTTGCAGTAGTCAACACATTAAATATGTAACTGCATTTCTTACTGGGCTCTATTTCTGAACTTCTATATTTACATTTTTCTATACCTACTCAGATCATCACTTCACTATGAACCCTGTTCCAACTTTGGATTTAATACTCATAAAATCAAGGTACATGTTGAATGCTTGCTACATTTCTCATTGCAATCATTGGGAATTTCCCACTTAAATCTCTTTCATGATATGATAAGTAGTCCTTTGAATTATGAGAACTTAGAAAATAGGCACATAGAGCTTTCCTCTACTTTTGCTCTGATCCACTTTGACTCATTGCTCTGCAGTTACCTAATACATAATGGCCTTTTCTTGAATAATAAAAAAAATCAAAGATCTCTTTGTCAGGGTGGATATACCATATGTGACCATCATGAGGTCTCTCTCTTCATTCCACATTTTCACCAATGTTGCAACCCATTTCAATCATTGATCAATCCATCTACTATCTACTATAGATTTTACTGTTGGCAGATGCTGGTAATAATAATGTTCTAGTTTTGCTTGTCTGCAACATACAATGCAACAGTGGTCCATTGATAATGGTCTCTAGCTCCATGAATCCAAAATATCCATCATTTTATTTTGAATACCCCAATGAGACTTTAGGATTCAGTCTCTCAGGAAATTCAATCAGTTTCCTGTGCTTGTATATTTATTGGCATGTAATTAGATTGCACCTCAGCTGGATGTTCATGTTGATGCAATATGTGGGAATGATTTAAAAATAAGGATAAGCCTTAACTCTCTAAATACTAGGCTCGGACTCAGGCCTATGGCCCACGGGACTACACCTATCCATTACATAATTGAGTAGAATCTAGTCTTAAACCATCTAACCTTAGGCCAAATGTGAAACCAATGTACCTTAGGCTTTTCAAGTATTTTTGCATTGAAGACGAATCCGTTTCGAACGCCTTCATATTTATGCTAGAGACACAAATATGTATAAGCCCGGGCCTGATTTAGTCCCTATCAGAGGGTCTCACCTGCTCCACCACCGAACGTTTTGATTCGGAAATCTTCCAAGGTTTTCGGATAGGCATCGAATTTTCGAAGACTCTCGAAGACTTCGCCAACCTTCATTATGTTCAAGTCTGTTGCGGAACGGGTAGGAAGAACCACACGTGGAAACAAGAAACTCTCACTAAGAGTCAAGAAACCTCCGCTGCCATGTGCATCGCCATGTTTTCGGGAAGAAATTGAATAATGATATTGCTTGGGATCATTTTCATTTTACAACGTATCGTGGGAAAGAAAAGTCCAGGTTACAATCTTTGAGATTGCAGCTACGATGGGAGTACTGGAGATGAGACCATAGATTGTAGCTCCAGAATAGAATCAGATTGTAGACACGATCATTGATTACGTAAATCGGAACAGATGAGGTGGGGGTTCCGTTCTTTTCTCGGTATAGGAACGGCATTCCCAGAAGTTAACTAATATGGGATGGGAACACCACTCCCATTCTTCTTCCTGTAAATAAATTATATTTGGAAAAGCAGGCCCCTGAAATTACTGCCAATCTGCTCTAAGTCAACAGAGATGGTTAAAAAGTAATTTAAAAAATGATAGCCAAACCCAAGCGCCAAACTGGAGGCAGGAGTGGCGGTGAGTGATGAATCACCCGTTTTCACCGTTCCCATACTTCTACAGATAGACTTCATCACTCGAAACGATTAAACCGCGCTGATTCTGGCTTTTTGCTGACAACGGAGGAGACGGTAACTTAAATTGGGTAAGCCCCGCCCGTAATCCTAATTCTCCTTTGAGAAAAACTGTCCATATTCGAGAACATTATCATTATCATAATCATAACTTTTTAAAATGATATATTGCCAAAATTTAATCGAGTCCGAACGAGTAAAGGGGACCTCATGATCAAATGGAAATTTAAGTAAAAAAAAGAATTGCGAACATTTTTCATTTGCATGGAATTTTTTTGGCGTTTTTCCGCAATTCAAAAGACTAACGTGAACTCTACTATTGCACTGGGCCACCCCGGGGAAAGACAAAATCAAAACACGTTGAAGTGCGCCATGCCCTTCTGCCTTGTTGTGGGACACGGACACAGTGTCTCATGGGGTAAGTGAAACCATTTCCAATTATTTAAAGCCAATGGTTCGTGAAGTCATTTTATTCCTCTTCAATGCCAAGTGGCACTTCCAGGCTGGATGAAACAACGAATTTTTTCATAAAAATGAACGGAACAGAAAGTGAGTCCCACCCGAATCGCCCATCACAAATCATTCGAATTTATCATGTACATCCCCGATGGAAACCAGAAATTAGCCACCACTATCTCCACTATAATTCATTCAAGACTTTATTATAAAGATAGTGCTAATGTACATACATGAGCGGCGTATTCTCAGCCGTATAAATACAACCACCATTTCTCTATTAATTTTTTATGAACTCTGCCAGAGTTGCTCAAGTGGAAGTTGCTGAAGGAACGGTTTCGTACTGTTTCTCATGCATCAAACTTGGCTAGAAATCAGCAAAGCCCTATATTTTCTTCATTGTTTGTTTGGTTTTCTTTCTTCTTTTCTCTGAGCGTGGTAAATGTTGGCCGATTACATCCTGAGGGAGATCATGCGGCACCAAGTGGACGCGACTCATCCATTCGAAGTCCCACTAGAACTGGGCAGCAAATTGAGGAGTGAAGCTGATGGAGGGCAAATTCGAGATTGTGTATGAGAAAGGGAATCTATGTCTTTGTGATGTGCTTGAAAGTACTCGGACCCTGAAAGATATAGGAGGTCTTGCTCGTGATCGTGACGGGCCTCTGTTCTGAAATGACGGCGAGGAGGAGCGCAGACGTTTCTTGCGACAATCGGTGTTATCGTGACCTATTCCCTCGCGGTTGATAACTGAAAGAATCGGGCGGGGGAATTCGCCCATTTTGGCGGCGGAGCCGATAAATTTTGTCTGCACCTCAGAAGCCCCCAAAACAATTCCTCCATCCTCTCGATGTCACATTTGCCATGAAATGATGAAACTTAGTCATAAAATAAAATATTAAAAAATGAATAATAATAAATAAATAAATAAAAAACTGCCTACTGGCGACATTGAAATTTTACACACCACTGGAACTTATTATTAATTTAATTTAATTTATTATTATAATTATTTACTTTTTTATTTGGGGGGGGGGGGGAGGCCGACGCTTCGGATGCCTGCTTTAAGATGGTCAACTAAAGTTAAAATGTCAAGAATTTCGTCAACAATGAAATGCTTTGCAGAACGCAAGCTACAGCAAAATTAGTGTTTTGATAATTTTCATCCTTGAGCTCGGCGTGGCACAATCCTCATTCCTCTTGCAAGTTAAAAGGTGACGGAAGAAATATAGGATTGCCATGGAAATACAACTGGCGACGATTAAATGTCACATGGGTCTGTCACCTCAGTGACATGCCCCATGTGAAATTTAATCGACATGAACATGTGGTTTTTGCCTGGCAAATTGGGCACCCTTTCTTGAAAAAAAAAAGTGAGACGGTGAATGTAGAGAAACAATTAGAATTTTTTAACCACTCAGTAGATGCGTCAAGCACTTTGGAGTAAGAATTATACTTTTTTTTAAGACTGAAGCATGATAATTGAAAAATGTTTACCATTCCACTCGAAAGTTGAGACTATCAGCTTCCTGGAGAGTAATGTCAAACATTCCTTAATTCTCATTCTGCAGTACAAGTTCAGGGCGAATTTTTTCCCTCCAAAAAACTGGATATAGCATATTCGCTCCTCTGTCACATCATCTATGAATAAGAAGACCGCACACTCTCCTCCACCTTTAAAGCATTTTCCCCCCTAGCGGACTGTATGCGAAACTACTCTGATGAATGTGCTCCATCTGGCTGCCGGACGGGACGCCCTACGCGACGACTGCTGCTGCCACTGCGCATGGTCATGAAATATACTTGCAACATAAGCCGAGGTGGCTAGACAATGACGCCATGGCAGTCGTGTCGACAGGTACCGCGCAACTTCCGGCTGCCACGTGCCCATACTGGCTCTGAGGGAAACGTGCGGTGTCGATATGCCATGCTGACCTCGTCTACTAATCGCCGCACCTAAGATGTCGTCGGATGAAGGAAAATCCGGATACGAGCGGATTTCGAGTACTGGAACGGTCTCACCTGACAGCCTATGTCGCGTAAATCTATAGGAAGGGCGAGGCTCACAGGAAATTCCCACGCATGAAGTGGCATAGGGGACTATCCGCCATGTGAGCGGTGTTGCGCCATCAGCCACGACAGCCTTTTAGCACGTACTCCATGAGCCCTGACATGAGCCCCGGAGCACGCAATCATTTTTCATACGGGATCAGTGCCTCAGCCATCCAGCATATCGAGTGGAGTCATTGTATCGTAGAACACCTAGGACCCCAAGGGATCGTGCACAACTGGCTCCTGCTTCGCGAATTCAAAAGATCGACATTCCTTCACAGCAGATGGGGCAGCTTGGATGAGCACGGTAACGAAGAGCTTTGCTTTTCAATATAAACGCACTTGAAAAGTTTATAATGTTGAAGATCAAGATCAACACTAGAAACTTCAAGGCAAGGACATTAAGCAGTAAAAATATATCATGATGCGAGAACAACTTAGTGGAACAATCTAAAACTTCCTTAGCGGCATAGCAGGTTCTATGCCTGACAGGATCTGGAGAACTCCAGCAGTTTCATTCTTTTCAAGCATTAAGCAGAGAAGAAGACCCCGAGACCAAACTATACGTTAATTACATGGAAGGTGAAATACACCCTCTTTTGCAAAACAAGTGCTGGACGATGGAAACACGTTTCACCCTGAGACAAAAAAAACCTACAAAATCGGTTGATAGGAACTTTAAACTTCTCTTGAATCCTTGTAACTTCCCTCCTGGAGCGAGAGGGATGGTACTGTCAGCTCCACACATCATTTGCTCAAGTCTAATCCCACCTCGTGATCATCGGAATACACGGCGACAATTTCGCGGAGTCCAAGTCCATAACCCTTTCTGGTCCGTTTCATTTTTAAAGCTATGGAGATTGCAGGACTGGGTCCGGGTTAGGACCTCAAAGGGTCAAGTGTGAATAGTATCAACCTACTTGGTTGGAGGCAGTGGGGTAGCTGGGGGAAACTCAGTCCCCAATTCGGGTCGAAATGCATCCGCCGTATTGGTGACACTGCTCAATACTCCTCTATTTCCTCAGTATAATGTCTCAATAATATCGACTCTTGCGTTGAGTAGAGTATAGAAATCTTGTTCGTTCCAAATAGTTTCGCTCCAATGAGACGTCAATTGGATATTCCCATATTGTTCCAGGAAATTATTCATCTAGCCAGTTGCTTATATTGCTAGCAAATTGCCGCCCGCATCCACTTAGGGTAAAACATGCCTGCAGAAAAAGTCGATCAGTTTTCTTCACGTCATAATTACTTTGAAAACTCCTCGTTCTGAATTCCGGTGCGTCGCGATTCAAAGAAGTCTGGGAACCGCTGTCGTATAGAACCGGCGAAGGGTGTCCCAGCCCGAGGGACTGACTAGAATGCGATGCCAGAGTGAAACAGGTACTCCTCCCTGTGTATCCTGAATCCTTGTGCAGCGGCATTGCCTGCTGGCCGGAGGACCACATAAATGGGATTAGCACTTGTCAACTGAGTTGATAGAAATTCTCCGAAAATGAAATTTTAAGGAGAGGGATGCGAGGACAGACCATAAAACTCGGGAATTTGTAAACAAAACTTCCCCTTCGTCAACATTGTTCTAATTTGTCATGATCGGCAGTGACTCATCTTATGGGCCTCATTACCCTTTGACACTGCCGCGTGCAGAAGGATTCAGTGTATGGACTATACTCCAATAGGTCCGTTGTCGTTTGATTCCACCGCATGTCCTATTTTTCCTAAAAAGAAAAAAGACCTTCCAGCGCTAATTCCTTTTCCAGGAAAGAATTCATCCCAGTCATACGGCCTAGTTGAAGGGACTACAAGGACTCCGGTTTCCTCGAGTTTCTCTTACTAAACCAACCCCTCCTTTAACTCGTGTCACCTCGACAGTGTGGGTTCAGATTGTGCCGCTGCTGGATCAAGTGCAAACTGAAAAGCAATTCCCCCAATGTGCAAAGTGATAGAAAATAAACTCCATACCTATAAGCGATTTATGTTGTAGGAAATATAAAATACAATTCTAATGGCATTTTAAAGATATATTTTAATACATTGCACCTATTTTTGCCTGTTTCGGGTAAGCGATGGCGAACAGACTTGGAGTTGTGGATAGAACAAAAATTGCCAAAAGGTATGACATTTAGAAGTCAGCGATACAGGTTCAAAGATGGTGTGTAGAGAAAGGCAATAAAACATTACAAGTTCATGACAACCGGTTCGGTGGTCGATTCATAACAGCGGAAGACCATTGACATGAAGAGTTGAAAATTTTGTGACGGTGGAAGCAGCTTTCCTTCGAAGGCCAAAAAAGTCCATACAAGTTTCATATGAAACTGGACCGACTCATCGCACAATTCGGTCTCGAAGAATTGAAAAGGAGAACTTGTGGACCGCATCATGTCCAAGAGGACATCCGGAAGGCTGACCGCCATAAGGAGTTCGCGCTCGGATGAAAGATTGGTCAAACCTTTTGCACAAGTCATTTGGACAGATGAAGCGGTATTTCACGTGGGAGGATTCGTCAACGGACACGTCATTGTGCCCCTCCTCCTGACCCTAAAGAAAATATCAAGTCGAAGTTGTCCAAAATTAACCGTGCTGTGAGGGATGACGTGACGATCGTCGAAAGAAATCTTGAAATGATAGAGAATTTATGTAGCATGAAGTCTCTGGGTGGCCTATTACACGCGAGTTGCTCTTCAGCAGGATGCGGCTTCATCGCATTTTGCTGTTAATTTGTGCACTGGTTGGACAACCTTAACAGGTAGATAAGCAGCCTTGAACAGATTGGCCTGCGCGAAGCCCTGATCTCACTTCCTACCATGGACTTTTTTTTGGGTTTGGGCAAGGAAAATGTTTGAAAATGAAAAACCATAGGTAACAGATATTAACCAGTTGGAGAAATTCATCAGGGAAGATCCAACGCAGACTATCTTACACTGGATTATATCACATGGTGCTTAACCCTTAATTACTCGCGCTGGTGTATTTCGTACACCATTCGCAGTTATTTTCGTCCCCTATCTGTTTACGTGATCGTACAGGCAGCATCCGCCTTTGACTTTGCAAAGAACATTCAAAAACTGATGTGAAATGTGATACATGTGCACATCCTACAACGGACGAAAGTAACGAGCAGAACTGGCTGGGTTTGTATGTAATTTCATACCATATTACTGAATAAATACTGTCTATATACACTGGTGTATAAAGTACACCGTGCGAGTAGTTATGACATGACAGGGCGCGAGTAGTTGAGGGTTAAGAAAAACTGCAGAAAATCCTGGAGCTTATGTGAATTTTCAATCCATGTGGTACAAAATGGGATTGTATAACTTTAAAATGCATTCAGAGCCTTTTCTTTCTTGAACTATGTCCATTTAAATCTCAATCACCCTGTATAAAGTCCCACTTCTAGTTGCCTTCAATTTCATTCCCAACTTGATTCAGACACTTGTGCATGAGGAATACCTGAAGCATACAATCTTGCCATGCTTCTTATGTCCATTTAAATCTCAATCACCCTGTATAAAGTCCCACTTCTAGTTGCCTTCAATTTCATTCCCAACTTGATTCAGACACTTGTGCATGAGGAATACCTGAAGCATACAATCTTGCCATGCTTCAATATGTTTGTATAAGAGTAATTTGTCATTCTATTCAATTTGTTTTTGGGCTAACAACTTCCCAAATTACTCCTAAACCATGACCACCAGCTACTCAACCTAAATCAGGCCATAGGAACACATCCCTTGGCTAGCTTCCCAGCCTTGCAGAGGAAAATCCAAAAATATTTTATAGCTGGATTGTTGTGTATCACTATTACTGGACATGGCTGCAGAATATTGAACGATTCCTTCAGTTATGTCAGCTGTAGCAAACTTCTAGCCTTGGATTGAAGCTACACAAACAAAGGCATTCAACTGAAATTTTTTTTGCTCCAAGAACTCCTCAGTGATTCAAACTTCCATTCCACGAAATCCACTAAAATGACAAGGCTTTCCATGTTCTTTGACTTCATGTTTTACTTCACCAAGCCAGCCCTTTCGTCCAACGCAATAAAATCCCACTCTCTGGCCAAGTGTAACAAAAAGGATGAATTTTTCAATCTGTTTGCTCAACCCTGTCAAGGGAACTGGACTGTGATGTAGTCTGGCGTCACAAGAGAGAAAGAGATACACGACAGTTTGAAGTCATCTTAAGAAAAGGGCGGTGCTTTCCTCCTGAACTCCTTGCGGTGAAAGAAGTGATGGAGACCTGTGAACCCACAAGGGGATGAAGGAGAATTGCGGGGGATAAGAAAAGGTAAGATAATGTGAGAATGGATAGTGAATTGGGGGAAAGAAGGTTTAAGAGCAACAGGAAAGGAATCTCCCTCATGACACCAGATGGGGCTGGCTTGAGTCACTGCTAGTTATTTCTTCTTCTGAGCCTTCTCAGCAGCCTTCGTCACCTGGAAAAAACCATGTATCAAAACATGACATACAGCACCACTTTGTAACACAAACTCTACACAATAGGTGTTTTATGCACGCAAGCTCAGACGGCCCTCGACAAGGCTGTTTCTTACTCCTACTCCAAGAGGGGCCCTTGAAAACCTGGTGGGTTCGCCCATTTCTGGGCCCAGAAGGCCCCTCCACGGATCAACTTAATAAACTTCATCATTGCTTAAGTAAACTTAAGGAAATAGAAAACACAAATTTGACTACACACCTTGCCAGTGGTCATATCTTTGGGTGTCACATTCTTGATGACACCAACAGCAACAGTCTGCCGCATGTCACGAACAGCAAACCGACCGAGGGGAGGGAAGTTGGAGAAGGCCTCTACACACATAGGCTTGCTTGGCACCAACAAAACCATAGCTGCATCACCACTCTTCACACTCTTCGGATTCTCTTCAACTGTTTTGCCTATGATAGGATAGCATAAGTGTGATTACTTCCAGTGAGAAATATAGGATGCATAAATACTTTCAAAGAAAACACTCACCAGTACGCCGGTCACATTTTTCCTTGATTTCAGAAAATTTGCAAGCAATGTGGGCTGTGTGGCAATCCAGCACAGGAGTGTAGCCATTGGAGATTTGACCAGGGTGGTTCAACACAATCACTTGAGCCAAAAAGTCCTGTGCAGCCTTAGGGGGGTTGTTTTTGGAATCTCCCACCACATAACCACGGCGAAGCTCCTTCACAGACACGTTCTACAGGCAAGAAACAAGGTTACTCACATAATAGACTTAATGAAGAAAATGCTTTCAAGAAAGGTAGGAACGCACCTTAACGTTGAAACCAACATTGTCACCGGGGACAGCTTCCGTAAGAGCTTCGTGATGCATCTCTACGGATTTAACTTCAGTAGTGATGTTAACAGGGGCAAATGTGACCACCATACCTGGCTTCAGAACCCCAGTCTCCACACGCCCCACAGGGACTGTACCAATTCCACCAATCTTGTAAACATCTTGGAGGGGCAGACGCAGTGCCTTGTCTGTTGGTCTTGAGGGAGGCAGGATGGCATCCAGGGCATCTAACAAGGTCTTGCCTGCAAGAACCAACCACTCCATGTAGAAACCTTGCTCCTTCATTAGTGCATTCACTATCAGTCCATGAAAGTTTTTTTTAATTTTGGAATGACAATATTGGAATAACAACCGATTCAGAACCAAAAAGGGCATTTGACATTTGAGTGAACTAACTCAGGGGCCTTGTGGAATAATGATGTACTAACTTTAAAATCAATGTAATTTCAGCTCCAACTGCATGCAGATGACCAGTATCACACACATTCCAAGTTAACCCTTTCTAACTTGCTACAATAAGTGCTATATTTGAAAGATGGAGTTTATGAAACCAAATGTTTACAAGGAAATTGCAGGTAAAAAAAATTATTTCCACAATTCTTACACCTATGTTGGCAAAAACCAGCTATGGGATACAACAGATACTTATTTACCTTCTGCATTGCCTTCCTTGCGTTCAACCTTCCACCCCTTCCACCAACTCATCTTTTCAGATACTTCCAGCATGTTGTCCCCATGCCAGCCAGAAATGGCAACAAAAGGAACAGCAGAAGGGTTGTAACCAATTTTCTTGATGTAACTGCTGACTTCCTTGACAATCTCCTCATAACGAGCCTGAAAACATTCATACATTTTTTTTTTTTAGCCTGCACTTAAAGCTTTCAATCAGCTCTCAGCAAAATTACTTACACTGCTATATGGTGGTTCAGTGGAGTCCATCTTGTTGACACCAACAATCATTTGCTTCACCCCCAAGGTGAAAGCAAGAAGAGCATGCTCTCGGGTCTGACCATTCTTGGAGATGCCAGCCTCAAATTCTCCTGTGCCTGCTGCCACAATCAGTACAGCACAGTCAGCCTGTGAGGTTCCAGTGATCATGTTCTTGATGAAATCTCTGTGTCCCGGAGCATCAATGATGGTAATGTAGAACTTGGCAGTTTCAAATTTCCACAGGGCAATGTCGATGGTGATACCACGTTCACGTTCAGCCTTCAACTTGTCCAGCACCCAGGCATATTTGAAGGAACCTTTGCCCATCTGAAATAGTTGTGCACCCATGCTTAGGTAGGCTTCAAATACTGCTACACCAAATAGCAAGAAACATCTTGTACTAAGTTTAACTATGCAGAATGTTGCAATGAGTAAATGAAAATGCAACTCTCCATGGGAAATGAAAATACCCGAAATCCACTATTAGTTTAAGTGTAAATTCTGACCAGATGCCAATAATTTCATATTCAAACTACAAATCCCCTAACTAGATCAAGCAATTATGTAAGGAGGTAATACTTTAAATACTCAATTCAAGATCTGCATGATAGCAAAGTGGCTTTATTCCTTCATGCCATCTGGCACTAGGGCAAACTGGAATGTGAAGAATGTTAATTTGTCTGGTAAAACTAACCTACCACATAATGGCTTCAAGTTAAAAGGAACTGTACACTGCATGGTTTATCCCCCACGTCACAGCCCACTAGGAGCTGATGGGAGCTTAGGAATATGCAGTCCTACCAGCCAGCCTCAAGAAACCAAGGCAGCTGGAGATGTTCTCTGACACTACAGCTGGGGACTATACTGTATGCAAAAACAGCTCCCTGAGCTGCAATTGGGGAAGCTAGCTCTTGCGAGCCTGCTCTCCCCAGTGTCAGAGGCCTCTATAATAGGGGGCAAAATAAAAACTCACTTCCTGCGCTTCCTTTTCGAATTTCTCAATGGTTCTCTTGTCAATGCCACCACACTTGTAGATGAGATGGCCAGTGGTGGTGGACTTCCCAGAGTCCACATGACCAATCACAACGATGTTAATGTGAATCTTTTCCTTGCCCATTGTAGGTGTGAAGGTTGCAGGTTCTCTGTGGAAGGACCTAGGTGCTTTGCTGCTGTGATTCTAGGCCTATAGGCAATCTGAAAAAAAAAGAACAGGTAAAACACTACATTAAAGCTAGAGAAACTCAAGGACCAACTTGTTACAAATAGAATACAGACTGCTTACAAATGAAACTAGGGATATACTTTACTCAATTAAGTTACATATGCCATCCCCCAGCTTCATGAACAAATTGTAAATAGACAGGTCAGACTTTCATGCAGCAGTAAAGGGTTGCTTGATGACACTCTGGCTGAATTACTAATGTCTACTTTGGGAAAGCGTACTCAACTGTCATAGTTAATGTTAGACCAAATAACACCACTTAGGTCTTCTGCCTGATGGAACACTTGCAGAAAGACTGGATCTACTGACTGGCTGTGGTTTAAATATCCGAAGCAGGTCAATCCTCAGCTAAACCTTTAACTTCACTGTAAAATCTACGCAACTGTTCAGAGATCCTCGGCTGAGCATAAGCATCGATTCAACGCTCACCACTTTGATTTCGAAAGGTTAGGCCCGAAAAAAGGAAAACGACTCAACACACCAATACCTATTAACGTCACGAAAAGCATTAATGCCGCCTTCAGTCAGTACAATCTACAAAGACCGTCAGGGCCTAAAGTATCAACTCATCCAGCTGGAAGTAGCTTCGTACATACATAGGCCTACTCGTGCCCGGCCGGCACTTTCACACCGCAGCCACGTTATTCTCCCAAAAGAATAAAATTGTAGTCGAGCGATGCTATGGGCGTCCTCGACAACGACCTAGCCGTTCTTAATTGTGGATTTCAAACTTGTGAATTATTGGAGTCCGGTAACGTTTTTCAATTCGAGACCGTCACACAGAAAGGGTATGGCGATGAGGCCTTGACGAAGACGATGACGAAGACCGGATGCATGAGGCGCCCTCTGAAGGAGATATCCCAAGCGAGAGCAGATATTACTTGCAGCCCATTGGAGGAAAGGCCTGTCTCGGGACTCGCACGCAGGCCAGACCCATGACGCGTCCAATAGAGCCCTTCCCTGTCCTTCATAGCCTCAATCTTTCCAAAATTCGAACACGAATGCAAAAAACTTTGGAACTCTCGATGGAAACAAATGTGGCTCAAAAACGATTACGGAAGCACCAGCAATACAAGACTAATTCGAAAAGGAAAAACTTCTCCACATAGAGCACACCTCGGCTCGATCAAGGACAACCAAGCCCCCACTGTCGCCTAGACTAAGGAGACTGCGAACTGTGAAATATACAAGCACCTAGGATGAACAAGCCGAGACCACTTTGTCCCTGCTCCTAGGGCGCACGCAATCGAACTGTGCCAACTGAACTCCAGGGCATGCCTCCCAGCATGACCTCCATCGCCCTTGACACCGGGTAGTTATTTTTAGAAGGCACCCCCTAGAGGTTCAGACCGGAGGAATGCTGGTGAAGAACCAAACAAAGGATTCGAAACTACCCCATTTTAGGATTTGCCAAAGTTCTTAAGTATGCATGAAGGCATTTTTAACCTGCTTGGATACCTCCATACACTTACGAGGCAAGTATCTTATTTCTTAGAGAACTGTATGTCACTCAAACGGGAGTAGGTTATACTTGGCCAGACCCCTATAACCCCTTAAATTCACGAAGAGAAATGCGTCTCAGCCGCCACAAATATAAGCTCACCAATCCTACACCAGTAGTAAGTTACAACCGTAGATCGTAGAACCTTTCAAATTAAATGGTAATTACAAAATTCGTGCTTTCACGATGGATACTGTAACTGCTCATTGAACCCAAAGCAAGCTAGTGCATTGCCGTGCAGAAGTAACTAGTGTCTAGCTAACTTGTTGGATAGATGCAGCACAGGATGGAAGAGACCATTCCACAAAGACTGCAGAGGAACATTCGGTACATTCGACCGGATAAAAATCATGCCTGAGGCATTCGACACTGGCACCATAGAGAAAGCAGTGGCTAAGCCACCAAAGCCACAGGCTATTTTCATTTCATCAAGGCGTAAAACTTCCTTCCGAAGTTGCTTAGCACATGAAAACCCACCCCTACATGCAAAATAAAGCAACTTTTGCTCAACGAGAAGTAGCAAGACGTAATGACAAGCATAGATTCATAATAATCCTGTTAAATATCCCGATGTTATTCCCTCACTGTCGCAGTTCGCCTCATTCCGTTACGAGTGGCAGTGACCAGACGCTGCTTCCCAGATATTTGGGCCTCATCCATATTCCAGTTGCAAGGAGTGTCTAGGCCGGCCTGTCTGTCTGCCTTCCCTCCTCCTCCGGCCACACCATTACGCAGGAGAAATGGATGAGTGCCGAAAGGCTTCAGCAGCGGACCCGTGTTTCGGCAAGGAATCAATGGGTCAAGACCGAAGGAAATTAAACTACAATCTTTCGGGGGCACTACGAAAGCACTATGAAAGCGAATAATATTCGCGGCAGAATAAAACGTGACTGTGTCCACGAAGTAACACATCGACAACATGGCGGCCAGACAGCCTCCTTCCCTTACCCCGCACGCCAAGGAAAAGGAATTCGATTATAATAGCCCAAACGACAGCTGCGAACTCACATAACACACTTGTGATTTAATCGATAGAGCACAAAGAAAGGTGGTATAAACTGCAAGGTAGACCAAATCCGATATGAGGAAAAGAAAGGATGAAATGGGCGGAGGAAATGAAGTCGCTTACCTCTCTGAGCAGTGCCTGCCGGTAGAAGAGGCCGCAGGCCCGATTCAGTCCGATGACATAGACTTTTCTGTCCAGATGGCGCTTCCTTCAGCTGCCATTCTCCCTCTGTCCCACACTCCCTGCTTTCATCATAAGTTTCCCTGCTTTCATCATCCTTTTCAATACCATATTTTCCCTCACATTCTTTGTAGCATATTATAGAGGCTTCATAGGCACCTCTTTCCTTCACTTGAGAGGCCATGCTGCTTTGAGCGTAAATGCCATTTATCGATACGGATCCCAGAGGAAAAGTGGGAGGAGGGCAACAGATGATACCGTTCGATAAGTGCAGTAGGCTGGTATGTCAGTGGCGGTCTGCATCAGCACATGCACGTGGATAGTGGATGATGTTGCGTTCTCTGGCTTCTGGGATCTTTGAGATACCTGTAAGCTGTCACTTCTCCGTGTCATGATATTGGCTATAAAAGTAAACATGGTCGCTAAATGTCACAAGCACTGACGCACCTGGAGTACCTAGATACATAGGAGAACCAGTCAGCTTTCCTTGCATCAGATTGAAATATGGACGGCATGAAAACATCACACGGTCTCCCTTACACACTAAATGTTTCTTGATAACCATATATGGAAAATCTCCCCAGTATTGTTTGATTTTTTTTCCTGAGGGATAATGAACACCAGATCTTGATCATGGATTCTATTGTGAATGTTCTTTCACATTTATATATTGATAATTAGACTGTGGCAGCAATAAAATGTAGTTCTTACACAAGTCTTAATCTTTGTGCTTTTCACCACATGTAAATTTAGAAGGAAGCAATCTTCATTCTGTTGATATTTCAACCTGAAATTCATGAGGGTAAGTATGCATTAGTATCATATGTTGGCAGCCATAATTCATAACCATGCATGCTCTAAAGCATGAGGCATCCATACAATTGAGAACAAAAATAGAAATTACTTGTATTTATCACATTTCTCTCATCGAACTATCCCAGGGACAGTTGCCTTCATGCTTTTGTCCATCCTCATGCTGGAGTTCAGCAATTTTTTTATTGCCTTTTTTCAGATCATAAAAGCTTGTCATTTTCAGATCAGTTTTGTTATCCACAGGAATTAGTTGATTTTAGCATCAGTACTAGGAATATTGTGCTAGAGACCAGAAAGGCATGAGTCCATCAATATATTTATTGCCAATGTGCAGTTGTCTATATAATATGGGAACATTTTATAAAAGCAAAAATTTTTTAGCACTCCTATGGTATCTTAGTACTTAATTTCTTTGGCATTGACTTTTTTAATGAATGTACTCTCTGCTGGTGCGAGGAATTTTTGCAAGTGCATGTGCATTACTTGGTATTTGATATTTGAAGCAACATGTGAATTTTGCTATTTCCCTGATATGGTTGCATGGTGAGTATATAAAAGCATCTGTCCCATAGTGAATTTTGGAAATTAAATGGGTATACTGTTGGTAGCACAAGAACACAGTTCCAAGAGTTATAATTCTTGCAAAAGCACATAGTCTCCTTGAGGGAAGCCCTTCAGTCTTTCACTGGTGGAATCCAACAAGGAAACTTTATTTTTCCTCTAGGCTAGTCATTGTTATATTTTTCAAACTTTAATTTCTAAACCATTAAGTTATACTTGGAAAAAGTATATCTGTACATTGAGGCATGTTCTGCAATGCTCCATTATTCTGCAGGAGTTTGAGAGCCACAACTTTGATGATTCTAATTTAGCCAATTATGTAATTTGTCTTCAGGTCCTGAAACTTCGATCCTGTTCTCTACCCCTAAATCAAGTCATCCGCACAGCATGGCGTCTTCATTGGCCAAATTGGAAGACAGTCAAGGATCAGAAGATCAGGATGCTAGTGAAGCAACATGGGCGAGAGAAGCGTCTTTTGGATGCAATGACAAAAAATGATATTCTTCCAGAGGAATTAAGGGTATGCGTATGAAGCCCATCTAGCTGGAGTTTCCATGTTGTTGATATGTATTGTTTATTGTAAACAAGTGAAATATTTATTCAAATAGATCTATGACTAACTGAAATGTACAAGATGTAAGATCTGTGAGAATATTTAAAGTTATTTCTGAAAACATGTGAATTTCATTTTTTTTAAGGTCTGTCTAAAGGTCTATTATGCAGTTTTATTCAATTTCATACAAGTGAGAATTGTTTTTTTTCTTTATGAGAGGAAAAAGCTCTTTAGCTTAACCTGTTGAGTGACTTTGAGGCTTTTCCATAATAGCATATTATGATGTTTCAGAGGCAATGTCCAGGATAAAACCTTTTGTTCATTTTTAAAAAGTGTTCCTAACTATGCTTAGAAAGGGTCAGTTGCAACATTTGCATAGATTTATTGGAATTTGATTGAATTAAAATATCAGGTTTAATTTAATTTAGACAGTACTGATTCATGCCAATTTTGATCTTAATTCTGTAATAATTGCTGAGGGAGACATGCAAACTCTTACCTTTCACCTTTTTCAACTACCATCTCCCAAAAATTCTGTCCAATGAAAACACATTGTCTATATTTTGTTTTTCTTTTTTTCAAATGCAAGTAAAACTGATGGCTAAGGATCATTTTCTGCCACTCCCACCAAGTATATAGATCATCTTGAAATCCTTAGCAAATTTTACCCGATCTAGATCCCTTATTGTTCATGGTATAGCCTCCTTTTGTACGAACAATGTATGCCCAACATTGGGAAATTACTTTTAATCCCTTCCTTGGATTGCTGCTATTGTCATACGTTTGCTTTCTTCTGACACCATGGCTAACAGCTATATCCTGTGTATAAATGCATTTTGTCACCTAAATTAAGACCTAGTGTCTTGACTTGCAGATAGATAGTAGAAACTGCCATGATCATTTTAAACCAAACTGTAAGTATACAGCCATACTACAGTGCAGGGAAAACCTCATCCCCTAAATATATGGGTATATACTCTGGAGGGTACACTAGCACTACCCAAAAATATACGGGCATACTCGTTAAAGGCCCCTTTGCCTCACCTAAATAGGAGTTATAAGCATTTGAACATAAGTTGTTTGCTCAGATAAATGGGATCCATGGGAGTTGAAATGCTATGTTTGTAGGATGTTAAGAAATCAGCCAGAAACCAATATGAATCTCTAAGAGCTTTTGAGTGGCTTTGAAGTGGTTATTTTCCTGACTTTTTTTAAATTTTTACATTTTTTTTTTTTACAGGACATTGCAATGCATCATATAAAGAAAGATTTTGAGAAGAACACCAGCGTCAAAAGAATCAATGATCGGTGCCAGGTCACGGGACGTCCACGTGGGGTTGTTGTGAGGTGGAGATTGAGTCGAATAGTCTTCAGACATGAAGTAGACTACAACAAAATGAGTGGAGTCATGCGTGGAAAGTGGTGACATCCTCATCATGGTTGATTTGCTGTGATATCTCTTTAATGTAGTAATATAAGTATTGATATTGGTTTTGTTATCATTTCATTCATTTTGCTCATTACAGTTGTTTAGGTAGCTGACTTGTCACATTTCCCCTCTAATTTGCAGAATTCCTAACATATTGTCTTTGTTTTAACATCTCTCTCATGAACACAGAGTTTAAATTTAAAAAATAGACCAATGAATTTTAACCAATCTACCTCTGCTTCCACTTGAACTGTTTTCATGAAATTTTCTTTGATGGGTATGCCTTTCAACATATCAAAGTCTATTCTACATTCAGTGCTTCTTGGCAAGGCTATGAGCAATGGTTAAGAATTTGGTTAATGAAAATGGACAATAGTTCATGTTAGTATGGAGTGGAAAATACACCAAGGTTTTCTGTTTGTATATAATCCAGGCCATTTTCAACTTCTGTTGAAATTCATTTTTTCAGTCTGCCCTCACCTTGCAGAGAGTTATGATTAGCTTCATTCTACATAATCACATAAATCATAAAGTACTGAAATGACAGTTTCTCAAAGTTTATTTTCCATTGATGTTGTTGGAGAAAAAGGCACTCAAAGGTATTTGAGTCCATTTCCTGTTTCAGACTTATATGGAGTAAGTGCTAATTTCCTTGCTGCAGCAATATTAATTTGGATGAAAATTTTGAAGTCTGTTGGAAATTTATCAATCTATGCATAGTGCAAGTTTTGTGAAACAGCTATAGTGAGAGCAGAGACATGCACTATTTTGCCAAAATGAGCATTCCATGTCAAGTCAACACAGGACATTTTTCAGGTGACCCCTTCTGATTTGGATGAAATTTGATGTACCTATCAACAATGGTAAGAAACTAAAACCACACCAAATATTGGGTTCATTAGACCCCTGCTTCCTCTGGTAGGTAAAAAAATTTGGGGCTGAAATTCCTTATTCTCGTACCCCAATTCAGTCTCCTTGAAACTTCTGTCCCAATTAAGCTTTAGAGTTTATCTTAGCCTCATTTTAAAAACTATTTTCAAGCCCTTTCCATTGGTATTGGTACATTTTGGTGAATACTAAAAGTTATCATTCAATAAGGTCATATAACATCAGCGAACACAAGCAGCCCTTGAAGACTCAATTTGGACCATGTGCTTATTTAGGGAATATATTATCCAAGGTTTGGCCTTTATCATTGGGGACCTTTAATGTCCCACATCCTTAGATGAGAGTGCCAAGTGCTTAGGGGTCTCCCTTCCCAAGCATGCTTGGGCTTGCTCTTGAAAATAAACACTGCACTTGTTTGGGTTCAAACCTGGGTACCCTGCCATGGGAGGCAAGCACATTTTCAACTGAGCCACTTGCTCACCTGTCCCTTGGGGCAGGTGAGTGACATATAGCTGTTTGTATGAAATCCATTAAATAGAATATATTCCACTTCATGATCCACTATGGGAATGCATTTAACTGAGTTTGGTATTTCCATCGAATTCGATTTAATAATTAGCACTTTAAATTTGATTATATTTTATGCTCACAAAGTGCTGTGCATATAGCTTGCACCTATTTATCAGGTGGTTTTTGCTATAATGCTTGGAAGTGCAAAACAATGTTTGTCTTTGAAGCATGGTTTCAGCAGATGTCTGATGTTGGTCAAGATGATAGCCAACAATGCTGAGCCCTGCAAAAAGTGATTATGTTGTTTTTCATTTTAACAATCATTCTCTTAGTCAAGTTTACCAAAATCCCCCAAATTCAGTGGCAACCTCACTCCTCACCAGATCCAGAACAGGTGGAGTAACTTACATACTCTTGAAGGGCTTGATCCAGTGATGCTGTTGGTGTATATTTTACTTTGCTTTGAGCAGTCCTCCCTACTTTCCTACCCACTGGAAGTTGACCCATCTTACCTCCATGGTCTACTATATTTATATTTGTTTAACTCTTAGTGGAAACTTTTTATTTCACAAAGAAAAGTCAACAGGGACATGAACACAAGGTAAGCACATATCAACTCTGACTAACTCAAACATAGAGCAATTTCCTCAGGATTGTAAAAGTTGCATAACCAGGATAGCGGTGAATGTCTCACACTAAGGTCATCAGCTTTTATTAAGCCTTTATTCTAGCTCTAGCTATGATAGACCAGATGTAGGAAAGAGTTCAAACTAAACAGTGAATACAAATGACAGTAGTCATTGCTTTGATGATAATTCAGCTGGAATGGATCTGAATTTAAACCCTTTGAGGAGTAAATGCATATTTAATATTTAGGGGTATACATTTTTTTCTTTTTACTATGTCTGCAAGTGCCAATCTGAGTTTTCTGATTCCCTCACATGAATAAGAAAAAATGCATGACTCCAACACTTTTCTACACATGGGGTTGTGCTTCCAATATGTTATTCCAAACATTTCAACTTATTTTCATTCTTGACATGTCAACTTATTTTTAGAAAATAAAAAAAGGTTGCCTGCATGAAGCTTCCCTCAATACCGGAAAAGGGTGTGGTAGCACTCCATGCACTGGTGGACAAGGGGCTTGTAACAGGTGTTGCACATATGATGTGTTTCTCATTTATTTTTCAGATCCAGGCATGTGTGGGTGCACAACACTCAAGTGTTTCCTAAAACTTGTTTGTAGTTTTGGGTAGGTGCTCCTGTAATTGTGGCTTGAATTTCTCATCACATGCCCCATTAGCATACAAAATGCAAAGAATTACATGATCTCAGAAACGTTAGTTAAGGAGTAGTTCATCCCCTATGGGAAACACCAGGTGCTGCCTTTACCTCAGTCATATTGGTTTGTCTCCTATGCCAACTTTTCACACAGTTCTGGTGGAAATTCTAGCTCTGTTGATTCCTTCATATTTGCATCTGGTCTCATGCCACTGCCAGTCAAGTTGAATGGAGCAACAACTGGGTCAAAAATCATTTCATTGTTCCACTCATGCAGCTGTAATCCACTGTCTTCATTTAGCTGCAGGCAACAGTGAATTTTCTTCATTGTAACTGCTACAATTTTATTCAAAGGATGATTCCACATTTTCAGGAAATTTCCAGAAAAAAAATTCATCATCTGAACCATTATTCAAGTCAAAATCTGAGTCAGAATGTAGCAAATCTTTCAACAAATCAATGTTATCTTTTGATAGCTTGCAGTAAGACATGTTTACTTGACTGCAGCTGAATAGCTGGTAGAAGTTACCACAATATGTGCAAGACTTGAACTTGAAAAGTGACATCAGTGTCTGGCAATGAGTCTGGATAGGTGTGGGATTGTAATAATAAATTACAAAATGAGATCTCAGGTTAGTCAGAGCAAGGTAACATGCAAACATGAGATAGCTCACATGTGGATCCCAAAAGGTGTTACAGGCTGATGCTCCCTGCCCTAGAGGAAACTCACTCCTTGGAGAGTTAAAACTGTGGTCCAGCTGAAAGCCTTTACCAGAGGTGTTGAAATAGGCTCCTATGAAATGGAGCAAGAAATCAAACATCTAAAATGCTAATGACATGAATGCTTTCAAAGTTTGACAACTTAAATCTTTTGGTGCTCAAAGAGGAATGGTGAAGAGAGGAACCCCTGAATCCAAAAACCAGCTTTAAATGGATTTTTCAATGATACTTAACAAATGAAACCCATAAGTTGGCAGGTGATGAAAATATTTTTATTGAAGCATCACCACTAGATGATCCCATCTCAGAATATTGGCTCTGGGAACTCAAAAATCACCTCCTTCCCAGTCAGCTTCTTGTAGACTGCTGCAAATGTATCCGTCTGCAATACAAAGAACAAGACTGACTTTCCACATCAGAACCTTCAACAGGAATACAAAGATTAAGATAGCACTCCCTAGTTCATGACTTTTTAGATAAATTTATTCAAACAGCAAAATGTTTTGTCTTTAATTATAATGAAATCAGTAGACCCTATTTTATAACTTGCAGACTACAAATTTCAATTGAAACTTCAGCTTTTTCGATAACTGTTCTCACACTTCCAGTTTGCATAGAAGGATCTCTTCCCTGGACAATGCTAAGAAAACAAGCTACAGTAAGAACCCCTGCAAACTTGCAGATTCAACCTATGCATGGTGTACATGTTAATAGCTGCCATGCCTTCACTGTAATGGCTCACTCACCTCTCAAGTAGGGACACTAACTATATAAGTTTGCTTTTTTTTTATTACTCAAGATGACCTTAAATCTGGCTGAAAATGAGACTGGTCACATACTGCAGTTATGAGAGGAATTTTAAGACAGACACACTAACTGTAAACAGAGCCTGTCCTCCCCCTCAGCCTGTGCTTCTTTAAGAGGTCCAAAGAAGGCTCTCTTAGCATAATGTACCTTTTAGTGTGATTTCCATTATGGTGGAAGCATAATTTTCTACTAAATCTATAGTTTCGACGAAGTGGCAGTACAAAAAGGACTTTCCCAGAAGACATCTGACATCTACCAGGGTGGATGTCTTCTTGGAAAGTCCTTTTAAACTGCCATTTCATCAAAACTATAGATTTCAAAGAAAAATATGCTTCCGCTATTTTGATCTGCTCCTGCAAGGAATACTGAATTCACTATTCATGATGTTGAAATGAAATGTTTGGCTTGATCTCTTTTTTTCACCTGAAAATAAGAAGAAAATATGCATTTTATTTTATTGGTTATGACAGGTATTCAAAATGAGGGGCTTTTTTGGATCACCCTTTATATCTATCATCAGAAGCATGACCTTTGACAACTCTCTCTTTCCTAGAACCTGCATTCCTTGAGTGTTTCATGGGTGTGTCTACAGGAGGGAGGGTGATGGAGGGATAATCCCCATTGCCATTTTTATTTTTTGCTGACAACTTGGTTTGTCAACATTGACAAAAAGGAAGGAGAGGACATTCAAGAGCTCATGCGAATATCACATTAAGCTCTTTCTTTGAGCAGTGAAAGGGCTTTCCATTTTTTAATAGGTTAGTTACGGGATGACGCATTTGGTGACGTCA